TTCGAAAATCTTTGACACTGAAACAATCTACGGAACTAAGGATAGTCAGACTCCGGGAAAGAGCTGAACCGATTGCAGACTTGAGGCAAGCAGCCAAACACAGGACACGAAACAGGGCACAAGCAGAACGCAGTCTCCGAATGCCAACAAAAGACCAAATGGATAGCCTCAAGCAGACTTGTACGTAATCCGTTACAAGTAACGAAATTATTTGTAATCCCTTACATTTATCAGTAATTTAGTAACGGAATAATTACATATTTTCTAGATTAATTTTAAAGTAATTCCCTTACATTTTTGACGTAACGGATTCCTTGTAATCCGTTACATTTTTTTTGTCAGCTCCAGCCCCCCCCCCCCCCCGCCCTCCCCCCCTCCCATTCTAAATAAAGTTTTTTTTTTTTTTTTTTTTTTTTTTTTTTCATTTTTGTAAAGTCGAGTGCTGTGACACTGTCACGCGAATCGACCAGCGCAAAGATAGGCTTGGCACTCCTCAGTTCCGCAAAGCCTTTTTTTGCAACACCAAGCCCCTGAATATATCTTTTTTTTAGACCCTAACATCAATGTCAAAAAATCCAAATAAACAATTCTTTAAAAAAGAAAAAAAAAAAGGGGGGGGGGGGTCAAGCTATTTTCGCTTTTTTTTTTTAGTCCCTTTGTTTTTTCTTTGCGATCGAAGACGGGGAGAGGAGGACACCCAGTGATTGTGCGCCTCTTCGAGAAGCTCGAGGGGGTAAGTGCACTGAAAAGAATTAACAATGTCCTTCGCGGTTATAGTGACTACGACCATTTTCATAATGTCACAACACGAGACAACGCTCCGTGTACCCTACCCTTTTTGTGAGTCAGCTTTCTGCGAGCACTTAGAAAATGGTAATAACCTTCCTTTTTCTTCCTGTTTTGCCCCAGCAGGACGCATCTTATCTCAAGCAGATATTTTTACAAATGAAACATAATGGTGGCTGACCTAGACTTGATATTCTTAAGGTGCCTTCATCCCTAGATATTCTGGGCTTGAGGATAGAGTGAAATTCGCGAGTGGGGCCATAGCGCGGCTTACTTAGAACTCTACCCTTTGCTGCCCGTGGGATCAGTGGACGTCTATCTGGAGAACACCGGAGTAAACTGCAGTCGGTTCGTGCTCCGTGTGTTTTTGAACGGCACCAAGGTGCACACGGCAAACGTGCGTTTACATTTCCTTGTATTAACCGACGTTCTAATTAATTGTTGTTATGAATGTCCTTCTTTTTCTTTTATTACTTATATTTACATACTGGAAACTTTTTTTATTCACCAACGTCTCAAGTGAGGCTCGAACTGTTCAGATCCAAAGGAAGAAGAATATCGAGACAAACCTTATTTATTATTTAATTATCACCTTACTGTTACAACTATATTTTGCTATTGATGACTTCCACAGCTTCGCGATTTAGACAATAGAGAATTTTAGTAGATCGGTTCGATAACGATATCCGATACTTCGCCGCCGTCTTTGCGTATGCATCATATCGTTATCGGGTACCGTTATCGCGGGTAATGGAGGTATCGGAAGGATCCACTAAATCTCTCGAATAGCAGGCAACGGCTGCAACGACGAAGCTTTGCTCTACATTCGAGGTAGATAGTACTTCCCTTGCTTCGCTAAAAAAGCTCAATGCAGAGCATGAAGCATTCGTGAGGAACAATAAGGCACTCCCATCCAGTGCCTCAGCTCAAATGGTGTTCAGCGTAGCAGTCGGCATACTGAGTAAGAAATCACGCGAAATGTCTGACGAGACTTTCGAGAGCCAGCTGTTGCACAAAATACTGAACGTCATTAAATGGAACAGGTGGCAACAATAAGAACTTTAATAGCCCTCTCCTCTTTTTCCCTTACTTGAGGACAATAATGTTAAAAGTAACGCCACGAAAGTAACGGATTACTTTTTGTGGTAACGGTCAGTTACTTTTATGAGAGTGTAATTGTAATTGTAATAAATTACAATTTAGCCTCGAGTAATTGTAAATGTAATTCCTTACTATTTTTCAGTAACGTGTACAAGTCTGGCCTCAAGTACGACCGCCCATAGAGTTATTACAATGAACGCTAGAGGCTCAGCTGGCGCTAGTGTCTATGGGACTTCCGGTTGCAACTTGAAGCAGACAGCATACAGTCTAGATTTCCAGCCTCCCTGTGTATTCCTATGGGAAAACGCGCGTGAATTTTGTCTCTTCGCCGGAAAAGAACATGAATAACTTTGGTCATTTCGGTTGTACCGGATAGTATGTACCTTTATTGGTATTGTGAGAGTGTAATTGCTTTAGTTACAACATTTTTCTTTACTACTGAACGATGTTAAACTTCGCTCTATTTCAGGCCCAAACCTCTGTTGCAAGGAAGGTATGTAAAAACGAGCGACGATTCTAAGCAACCTAACGATCGAAAGGAATATAGAGTGTGTTCAAGGTTTTCTAGCATTTCGGTGGTGCTTATATAATGCAAATATGCCCGTCCTGTCATTGGATGAAAATGACTCCGTCGTGCATCTTGACGATCGATTAAAAAAACATTCGAACGCAAAAAATAAAGCATGTGAACTACGAAAGGTGTGTCTTTTTATTATTTCCTATGTCGGGCACTTTTTATTGGGCACCTGCTCTCTGACTCCTGCAAAGATTTGAAGCGTGCGGGTGATGGGTGATGATTTGAATTCCCCGAACAAGCATCTTCGCACATATTCATGAGGAGGAATGAAGCAATACTTATTTATTGCAAATCAGACTATATTACATGGCATTCAATTTATTTTGATCGTCCGCATGCACAATGAGTTACTTATCCAGTGTTAGTGCGTAGTTCTTGCCGTCTCTCCTGGTTTTCCACGTGTCCTTCGTTCGTTTGGCACGTATATCCCCCATGCTGGAAAGCGTCGACGCCGTGTTCGCGCTAACAGTGTCCGACAGTGCACATAAATACGCGTACCAAGCGGTTTTAGCACCGTTTTTCATGCCACGAACTTCAAATAAAAATGCTGTAACTGACCAATTATTTCGTCTGCGTGACTGAGAAATGTTCCAATGTGCCTAGTACGTACAAATTATTCGTGATATTTGCTCTTATATTCAAGCGCAGAAAGAAAATGCACTCGCTTTTTCTCATAGAAATGCATTAGCGGAAGTCAATTTCTGACTGCTTGCTGTCTGCTTCAAAATGCAACAGCACACTAGCGCCAGCTGAGCCTCTAGCGTTTATTGTAATAACTCTATGCGACCGTCTATGTTAATCCTTTTGTCCACTTTTTTTTTCCTTTTTTTTAAACATGTCTTAGTACAATAACTTCGTTCTAAGAAAGACAGGATTTACAGTATTGAGGGAAGCTCAATTCTTCGACGATGATCTTAGTACGCACCTTCGACCATGTTGATCAAAACCGGAATAAGACAACGCCAGCGACTCTGACGTTACCATGCCTGATGTGACGTAACGACACAACCAGCCATGCATACTTGCGAAATTTGGCGTTAAGTTTCGCATTGACGTCCATCATTGATTTAACAAATATTGGGGTGCCTTTTAATGAAATCAATATCGCGCATGACTATATTTAGGGTCCCTCTACGTGACTAGCGCAAAAACGTAGTAACTTCCGGATATCATCGGACAATCCTGACGATGGACTGCCTACATCATTTCGAGTGGACGGAAGACAGCTATCGCTCTAAAAAAAAAAACTGAAAAGCCACAGGAGCTGGTAAAAAGTCTGTTTGCAAAAAAAAAAAAGCGTCGTGACGTCAGTTCCTGCCCCTGCGAGTAAGGCGGCGATTCCGTCAACGCTCGTCTTTGCCCTCGCAGCCAAATTAGGAGATGGACTTGGGGGCGGGATTAAGGGATCAGCGAATACGCGCGAGGATTAGAGGACGCTGAGCGAGCCTCCCCGGCTCGCCTCAGGCTCGGGATTACGCAGAGAGGAACAGCGACGGGCTCGTCCAGGCTCGTCGGCATCTCCAATGCTCGTCCCTCGTCGTCGCTGCGCCAGCTGCGCGTTCAGAACGTCCGGAAGACAGCCCTCTCTCCCTCTCTTCTGAGAGTGAAAGATAGCCCCCTCGCCTTCTTACAGAACCGCAGCAGCAGAAAAACGTCGCGTTGTTCTTCAAAACAAGAACTGCAGGGAGCAAGGTCGTTGTACGTTCGAGACAGCGACAACCAGTCTATGGACACCGGGACAGTGGCTTCTTGGACGGCTCCTTCGCCACAGAAGGATAAACAATAAAAATAAATGAAGAGAGGGGGTGCGGACAGAATGGGAAGAGGGGGAGAGGCGGTGGGGAGATGAAGATGTCAATCTTCTCATTTCTTACCGACCGCGGGACAATCAACTCCACAAAAAAAAAAAAAAAAAACCTTTGTTTTTCTTTTTACTTCCTTCAAAATATCACGACAGTCCCAGCGATAACTCATCCGACAGTTTTCTTCTTTTCTAAACCCGGCTGGCTGCTATAAAAAAAAAAAAAAAAATACAAAAGAAGTTACCATTTATACCCTCAATAGCCGAACGTTTCTTTCCTCCAAGAGCTCATACAACGTAAATGAAAGGGCTGAAAACCCCAGAAAAAGCCCCACTTTTGCTAGAAGAAGCGAAAACATAAATGAACAAAATGGTAGAGATTTCGACGCTGCGAACGAGAGTGCGCCAGTGTGCCGCGCGGCTGCGAGAGTGCGCCTGGCGAGGCTCGGATTCTTTTCCTCCCCGCTACCTCCGCTCCCATCCAAAACCTTCCAATCAGCTAATAATAGACGTCTAAACAGACCGGAAACGTCACAGCTCGGTTTCTAATTCTGTCCGACGTTGCCTTTCTCCGTACCCGTAAACTTGAAACGAAACGGAGAGCCCTGAATTTAGTCGTAGTCGGAGCCAAAACACAAGCCGCCCTCAAAGGCGTCTATTTGGACACGATTGATTCGGACAGAGCCGTAGGCGAGCAACCGGATTGGACCGGTTTGTGCGAGTGGGATGGGATGGCGTCGGGGCAATCCCGGTAGACGGCGCTGCGCTCGGGATCGCTGGATTGCTCCTCGGAGGAACGTCGCCGGACGTCGCTTTCCCCACGGCACATAGAAGCTGAGAGACGACAAGCAGAGCTCGAGGTAAGTGTTTGTTTCCTTTTTTTCTTTAAAGACTACCTCCATATTTAGTTTTTAAAGCTCAATCAATCCTATGTTAAAAGCTACATTATCTAAGCTGCACACGCGCACGAGGCCGTACTGATCAGGTGCTCCGGAAAGCTGTTACTTGAATGCTTCCCACCGATGGAGAAAGATACTTTGGGATTCGGGATGGATAAAGCTCTTTTTCTGGGCGCTGCTTGCTCATTCCATCACTGCGTCTATTGCTCTCGCACGATGGTTGTTTCGTTGAGAGTGAGGTTCGCGGTTCCTTTATTACTAATTTGCTTATCCGAATTTATTTTTAATCATTTCGTTGTACTGGAGTGAAGAGCGTACATCATCCCTTATCAAATGAAATTATCCATCGCGCTGTGCTGCGAATTTTGTTTTATAGTCGTAAAATAGCTAAACTTCTCGGAGTACTGGCATCTATAAATGATTCGTCCGAAAATTGACATCTATAAATGGTCCGTGTGAAGTTCATAAACTAGTTTTACGCCCCAAAGAATTACAAGATTTTTTTTTTTCGTTCAAATATGTATATTGTAACTTTTTTTTTAATTTGTGATATAAATTATTGGTGTTTTATTTTGATACTTTTCTAGAGACGCAAATTATGAGTTGCTAATTTTTTTAATGCGGCGACAAAAAAAAATATTTCTCATTAAAGGATGTTGCTGTGGCGCCAGACAAACAAATAACAGAACGGTAAAAAGCACCAGAAGAAACAGGTTCCATATTAATGGCGGCGTCACGGACCTGTCAGCCATAATTTAAGACGCATCGTTGGGTTGTCCAAAGACCTAGTGTTTTGCTGATCCCCCATTGAATGTATAGTCGTTGAGTCGCTCGATCATATATTAGCTGGATGTACCCGAGTGTCTACTTAGCTCGAACGCAAGTAGAAAACAAAACTCGGAACTATTCAGATTTGGTTTCGGTTTCCCAATCTTGCCTATTAAATTTTGTTTAGCCTATGTAGCTTTCTTTTTTTTTTTCTCCGAGTTAGCAAATATTTGTGCTAAAAACGCCCCCTCCCCCCCTTTTCTTTTTTTTTTTTTTCTAACAAACACACGCAAAAAAAAAAAAAATAGAGGAAGAAATAAAGAAAGGTATTAATGAAACGCGCCGAGTGGACAGTGTGACAATTAAAGTTGCCCCCGAAATAACTAGAGTATCACGAATAAATATAATTATATTTTTCTGTTTTTTTTTTTATATTTCAAAATCAAAAAGCGTTTAATAATTACTTTTCAAAGGCAAATTATTAAAGTGTACATATTAGGCTGGCATATATATATATATAAAGAGATCCTGCTAATTTAGTTTTAATTTATCATGATGCTGCCATCAGCTCGAACAAGTCGCTAGTTCATTTATTACGCTGGCAATACTTAGCGTCTGGTAGGCAATCTTAGGCCATGAGTACAAGACTCTACAATATTAGGAAAACTAATTCAAAGCTATTACGCATAAGAAACAAAAAAGAAAATCGTATAATAAGCAGATTTTTTTTATCAAAGCTCGGAAAAAGGTTTCTCTGGGTGTTAATTGGGGCACTTTGGCTAGCTAAATTTGTGCGATGACTTCTGGGCTAGATTGATGACGCAGGATCACTGCGCCACCAATTCACTCGCATCAAAACACATGACAAATCTTCATGTGCAACCCCACTTGTTGTGAAGTCTCTAATGGAGCCAATTTGTTGCTTCCTCCCGCCATAATCTGGAGGGAGCTTTCGTTGGGGGATGATAACAGCCTGCGAGGAAGCAATTAGTTCAGCTTGTAGTATCGCACTTTGTTTTCACTTTTTGCGAGGTCAAGTTGCTGCAGCCCGAGATATCAAGTTGTCTTCTGTTGTGGTGTCCTTGAACTCCAAGGGGGCTTTGCGCAAGACAGATTTCACAATCTCTCATCATCACGTCCGCAAGCAGCCTCGGAAAATTGAGGTCCACTGACCGCTCCTAGCTCAGACCTAAAACTGACTATGGCCTGCTGCTTGTTCATTTAATCCACTTTAGGCTGATGCGCCATTTCCGTGCGCATGTGAGGCAGAGAGTGTTTTTTTTCTCATGAAGAACGGCAGGGCCTGATTGGCTGACTAATCATGCGTCTTTTCAAGTGCTAGTTCTAACAGGGCGATACTGCCATATCCTATTTTTAAAAGCTGTAATGTGCTGTGTCAAGAAAACAAAATAAAATATATTTCTTTTTTTTTATTTACAAAAATAATTTATGCATTGCCGAACGCTTATTTTCTGCTTGAACCAGATGCCAACGCTTCAAAACTATCCGTTATCACATTCAAGAGTTGTAAGTGATTTTCTGAAAATTTCAATGTTGAAATAGAGCTTCTTTCCCATTGAAATGCACAGCTTATTTTTGCCGTTAAAAAGCTGTAATTTTTTTAGACACCCTGTACAACCATACCGGTGGCAATCAGTTCATTGAACGACATTTTATCGGCACTTAATTCATCGATAAATTGTTTCATCGGCGGATTGTTTAATTAACAGCTCAAAATAATTTTTCATTTTTTGTAAACAAATTATAAACTTTTTAGAAATAGGCATTTTTTAAAATCACCCGAAAATCATGTGTGTTGGTTACTGAGTGTCCTCCACACTCCTTGCAGCCGGGCCACAAAAGTAATTTTATGTTTGACATCTTCATGCAATCGTAGAGCTGAAATGTAATTGTAGAACAGTTATCATTCACGTTTTTCGTCAGAATTTTGGTGACTTCATTCCAAACATGCAACTTAACCACTACGTTCAAATCGCGATGCACACTTTGCTGGCTGATTAAGACTAGATTTTGGCAACATTCTAGTTTCTTCCACATTTTTTACCCTGGAACCGTTTCTTTTCCCTAGGTTTAAGTTAATTTGGCTACTCTTGACAGCCAGACTTGAGTCAACATTCTGAATTAAATGCACGGGACACACTGAACCTACCGCCAGACTGCACAGGCTACAACACAAAGGGATACCAGCAGGAATCTCATCGTGAAATGAGAAGCGCAGAAAACGTGTTTTGTGCACTTTTTATCTCATCATGAAGGAATACCAACCCCTTCTCTCGTTTGTTTAATGGAACCAAAGCTTTACCAATATAACTACGCTTGACTCAGAGGTGGCACGACTGAGCCTTTATCTCTGCGTTCCTTCCCTAGGGCCATGCATCGCGCACTACTCCTGGTGGCTCTGGCAGCCATTGCTGCCAGCGTTGCCAATGCCAACACAAGCCACGACGACCTCTTTGCCGAATCAGATCACGAGGTGGTCTACCGAGTTCCCCGTGGAGCTAGGAGCAGTTCCAGGGGTCGAGGTAACCTCTCCAGGGCTTATCATTCAGCTCAATGTTTTGAGCTTGTTCAAAGCCTCCATGAGAGTTGCTTTTCTTCCACTCTTAATGCCTTCTCTCTTTCACTATCCTTTAGAGTTGGGAGAGGATTATCTGCCTTGCAGAAAACCAAGGTTGTATGTCAGCATGCTGGGGCTATATTTATAGTTTCGAAATGTGACATTCTGGGCATAGGCTGGGCAATGGGAGTGCCTTCTGAATTCAAACTTCCAACGCTTCTCGGAAACGAATTCGGAGGATGAGGACTCATCATCCAATGCTCTGTAAAGTACACCAGATTCTCATTATTTCAAACTCCAGGAAGCTGCAAATTTTGTTTGAATTATCAGAAATTAATTTAAATATGATGCAAGATAAAGTTATGCTTTTTGATATGAATGGCTACACATACAAAGCAGATATTTTGATGATTTCCTGTATACATACCTACTGATCATAAGTAGGTATGCCACCATAAAACATTGGTGAAATGTATAAGTTTATTCATTCCTCAAAAGTGTTTATCGTGAACTGTAAGACAGCACATGACACCTCAAAACAAAATTAGGTTTGTTCATCCAACAAAAATGTTGTCTACTGTGAAGCGAGCTGTGCAGGTGTTGTTTCTCTGCAATGCACCAGTGCTCGGTAAGAAGCGCACTCAAAGGGGCTCAGAGAACAAAAAGTATGAATTACACGAAAATGCCGTTCGAATTAAGCAACTTATACAAACATTGAAAACATAGCAGAACAACCAAAATCTCGAAATTTGTTTGAATTACCCAGAAGTATGAAATATCCAATTTTGAATTATCGCGAGCCTACTGTACCTGCGGTTTGAGTCTGAGACCGCAAAAAGGTTGATTGGAAGCAAGTTCACGAAGATGAAATCCAATCGAAGAAAGGCAAGTAACTTTTGTTCTAAATATTTGCATTTTATGCTTTCCCAATCTGGACAGCTTGCAAGCACTGTATATGCTCCCATTAGATATTTTAAAAAAATAAAGCAATGTGCATTGACTTATTGACTCGACTGCAAAAGGGTTATATGCCATGCATGATTTTGTGAGATTGTTTTGGCAAATTGAAAGCAAGCATTGGTGTTAATTATAATAGAGCTATCTTGGGTTCTAAAAGATACAGAAGACAGGATGAATGGTTAAGTGAAGCGTGAACATAAGCGAGTATAGTAGTGGACGCATATCAGAAATGATGACCCAGCATCGTTATAACAAATCTGGCTGAAGGTAACAGCTCTACTGGGATAGATATTGAGCAAGCCTCCGGAATTCTCTATATTCTTTTTATATAACTTCTGTTATACTCAGTTGTAGAAGTTTCACTTAAATAATGAAATACTGCCTGGACTTTGTGAACAAAACAGATGTACCGAAAAGCAGGCTATTTTTTCATCTAAAAAATTATTAAGCGCATAATTAAGCTTCAAGTGTAAGCAGTACAGATGCTTTTTGTCCCTGGCACATTGTAATCTTCAAGCCAGTTGCTGCTTTCCACATATCCTCTTGTATGGGTTATTTTATTCTCTGTTACAGTCCTGCTCATCGCTGTGCTACTCCCTTTTAGTATAGTACAAACTTTTTTTAGCTCATACATATAAATAAGTGGAAAAACAAAATATGTACTGCAGGGAAGCGACACAGCATGTGTGGGCATGAATGTGCATGTGCATGTGTGAGGGAGTTTGCACTGGCTATTAGCAGGAATTGCAAACACTTGGTTTAGAGTAATTTGATTTAGTCTAAAGGCTAGAATGCCATGGGAGGTGCAAGATAAGACTGTTGCTGTCTCTTGACTGTGTTTCTTATAGGCAATGTTTGATTGCAAATCGCTGCAGTGTTAGTACTCTTGTAAATACTCTTTGCCGAATATGCTGCCTTTTTACAAGGAAATTAGCTTCAACAACTGTCGTAGTCTGCTCGAAGTGTGCCAGTGCAGAAGTTGCTCAGCTATGTTTTTCTCTTTTTTTTGTTGATGATTCTTGATCTGCTTCCTGCATTGCCCAACTGGGCTATTTGCACTGGCTTTCTGCCAGTGCAACTTGTCAGCACTGGAGATCCTTGTTTTATCTTTAACTGCTTTCAAATGAGCTGTTGCTTTTGGCACTGCGTCTTTGACTTCCTCGTGCCCTCCTTTGCTACATACAAAAAAACACATTTCATAGATAAAAAAAGAAAAAGTGAAGTGAAACTGGTTATTAGTTTCCATGCTTCACATCTTGTGAAATAGAAAGGAAAGAAAAATAATGGAAAACCATAATGTGAAGGGAAAAACTTGGAGTCACATCGCTCAATATGTTTGAGGGCTGTGCATGGTAAGCAGAATTTTGCATAAATATATGGCAAGCATGCAAAGTTGACATGATCATAGTCACTAAAAATTTTGAACTTACACAGTCCTGTATAAGCATAGCCATCGCATGAAGATCAATTACACCCCCTCCACAGAGATAGCCTGCTACAAAGTTTATTTGCTGTTCAATCTACTGGCATCCGATCGAGAAAGTAAAACTGTTTTTCACCCCACATAAATAAACTATACATTGCGAAATGCTGAAGCTCTGCGACGACAGGGGTGGTAATAAAATGTGAAATTTTTGAGAACATGACATGGCCTTGATCAAAGGGTAAAACAGACAAAAATATTTTTATGAGCCGACGTCCACCTAGGCTTAATGTTTGTCACACCAAGAAATTACATTTCGACGCCTGTGACATTTATTTCAGTGAAAATGCTCGTCAACAAGAAAGACAGTCTTTTCTGACTTGCTGATAAGTTTGTTTCAACAAAATAAATGACACAGGTACCTACAAATGGCACTTCATGGTTTTTCTATAAATGCATTCAATCCAGCATCCACCTAAAGTGAAATAAATTTCATTAATTGTAAAAAAATTAAAAATCCAACATAAAAAAAGTTGGGGCTGCAATCCACGCTATGAAGGTGGTTGGACAGCAAAGCTGTGGTATCGCAGCTTCGCTGTCCAAGAGCAACGATTTGATTGCCCACTGCATTATAGACCCTTTTTAAAGCAAACGCCACCAGGTAGTGTTCCAGTCTTTGAAGTACCAGAGAACTTTCGGTTTATAAAAAGAATGAACAAGGGCCATCGTAACACTGCTGCTTGAAATGTAGATGAAACATTTAACCATCCATTCTCCAGGTGAATGCCAAAAGAATGAAGGAGTGCGAGATCTGTTAAAATGTTTAGAGTATTCTTGTAAACCAACTTGCATCCTCGAAGATGTAATTTTGTGCAGCCGAAGGGCCTCGTTCAATCTCCAACTTTGTTGTCTGTGTAGCACTTATGCTTCTAGCACTGGTGACATAAGCAAGCTCAACAGGCTTGCAAAGACGGTGCGACCGGAAGTCACTTGCGATGCAAGCGTCAGTGCAAGTTTGTAAACAGCAAAAGGGTCTATACCAAATGATTGATGAAAGAAAAGTAAATGCATTGTACCAAAGCTTTTTTTATGTATGAAAGACTTTGTATGCTGCCGATGTAGCTTATGCGACCGCAATCTCTGCTGAAAAACGCATGCGGGGATCGTTACCCGCTTATCATTGTTCCCCTGCGCCTCATAATCTATCGCATGGTTTTGACACTTGTCTTGCGGTATTCTTATTGAAAAAAGTGTGAGAACCACACGATAAATGATAAGGCGCAAGCATGGGTTTTCTGTCGACGAACACAAAAAAATCCCACCTGCAAATTATATACAACTTCGCTGTAAAAAAAACAAAAAGAAAAAAAAATCGTCTAAGCAGGAATTTTTAGTTCCAATATTATAATTTAGTTACCTAAACACAATTGCCTTTCGGAAAGGCTTGGAAGTAGGGCTTCTTCCTATGCCACTGGCACATTGCAGGAAAGCGATACTGACTGTGCATTTGTGCAATGGGAAAAGTACACATTGAGTCAAATGCAACATTGATGAAATCATTATTAGAAAGTTAGGAGTATCGACACATGCCCACAAGTATTTTGAAGACTAGTGGTTAATCGGGACAGTCGGTTAATCCTGAAGTTTCAGCCCAAAAGGAAGGTTTGGACAAACAGGCTGGATGATAGAATGTATTGTTCAGCTTGTTCGTCCGCATCTTTTTTTAATGCCCTTTCCAAACTTTTTGTTCGTAACTGTGCCATACATTTTTAAGCGTAAACACCTTTACAACTTGACAAAAACATAGGCAGGAATGAAAAAATTATGAATCGGGCACCATGAAGAAGTCTCTTAACATTCTGGCAAAACTGCCACCAGAAAATTTGTGCTCGAGCTATTCACTGAAGCCCTCCCGTCTATGCTTCGGTGTTCCTTACAATGAAGCTTTGCTTAGAAAACAACCATTCAAATTCAAATTCTTTTAATATTCTTTATTTACTTCTCTTCATGTAGAGAAGGGAGACAGAGAAAAAAGTAAATCTGTTGCTGCTTGACGATACCCTGCCTCCCCGCAGCAGCAGAGAGCATGTGTACATAAACGCAATATTTTAGCCATAAAACTTTTGACTCAAAAGATAAACAACAGGGGGTAGGGAGGAGAGTGGTAATCGATTGACCCAAATTTTTAAGAATCACAAATTCCATGGACACTCCCTCACAAACATTGAATGAACACTTTGCCAGGATTCACTCAACACTTTTACATTCAGTTCAGTCAAATGATATAAAAAACGTGGCACTGTGAATTTCAACATGTGATTATACCATAGTTCATTCTAGAGTGTGGCACTATCTGCATGTCTACACAGCAAGTCTCATAGGCAACCTCCCTCAACCTAAGGTTGGAAATCGATACGGATACATTTCCATTTTGCCTGAGAGACTTTTTTAATGCAAGAAAAAGTTTATAATAATACTGATTTGGAGCTTTTACAATATCGAATGTATTAAATAATGGACTGGTATGAGTATCATATGCAGTACTACATCTATTGTGAACAGCTTTTTTTATATAGAGTATGCATTAATTTAATGTTTGTGGCGGTCATATTCCCCCATACTAAGAGGCAATAATTATACTTTGAGTAAAAAAGGGAATTGTATATAAGAAGCATAACTGAAATTGGGATGATATGGCAATATTTGTACACAATACCTGCAACTCTGATAGCTTTTAGCATGTCTGTTGTACAGTTTCATCCCATGACATGTATCAATTAAATATAATTCTCAGAACTTTTCCGCTTTCCCCTATATTTATACAGTGTGTTCCAAGAGAAAGAATGGAGGAATAAAAACAGTTTGTATTTCGTGATCTGAATAAGACGGCTTTGGTTTCACTACAATTTATTTGCAAAGAGTTTGAACCTGTCCAAGCATTCAACTTTTCCAAGAATGTATGTGTACTATCTATAATCTGATCAGTATCAGCACCTGAAAAAAATATACTGGTATCATCAGCATAGATGATGAGACTTACATTGTCATCAATATTTGCAGTATCATCGATGTAGAGATTAAAAAGAAGTGGTCCCAGTATACTTCCTAGCGGCATGCCGGCGGTTTGTGGCCTAAGGTCAGAGTGTTTTTTTTGTTTATTACAATGCACTGGTAGTGGTCACAAAGATAACTTCTAATCACATGCAAAGCAACACTGGGAATACCGCACAGATACAACTTTTGAAGTAATGTAACATGATTGATGCGGTCAAAGGCCTTCGAAAAATCTACAAATACTCCAAGAATTAGCAACTCCTTTTCAATATTGTTTACATAAAGTTATTTTTGTTTTAACAAAGTAAGCTCCATAGGACAAGCCTTCCTAAATCCATATTGACTGGGCATTAGAATGGAAAATTTTTTGCAGAAAATATGTAGCCTGTGATGTATTATTCTTTCTAGACCTTTTGAGGATATGGGTACAACAGAAACAGGTTTATAGTTTGCAATGTTGTTTTTATCCCCAGACTTATATAACACAGTCACCTTTGCCACTTGCATTTTAATGTGAAGGCATTAACTGTCCCATGGAGCGAACTGGCATTATCAGCTTTTGAAGCCGTGCCAAACAGCCCCTAAATTCCCCTGTTCCATGTAGCAAAGCCTGCAGTCTGTAGCAAAAAATTGATGGATAAATTCCCATCGGCTGCCACGCATCATAGTTTCAAGGAACGCCACCCCACAGAGAAGCCTTCTCCATGGTGCTACAGCCTCCGCCGAGAAGAGCAGAAACGGCCACTTCTGCTCCTCTCGGTGCCAAGGAACATGGCGGCGCCTGAGGCATCTATATTGTCGGCGGTCGCAACCTGGGCAGTAGCGAAACCTGGCCGTCCACGCCAGTACACTGCAGGCAACTAAGGGAGCGGAAGAACGACATTCATGCTTTCACATTCACAACTGATAAGAAGTGCTCAGGTGTCCTCAAAATTTTTTTGTAAAAAAGTTCTATTCTCAAGTGCTAGATTAAAAATATGCGTTAGACAAGGAGCAATCAAATGAACACATGTTTGATTGACTTAGTGTGAAAATCATATATATCAGAGCTCTTACTATTTTTAAAATTTGGAAAAACAGAAAACATTTTGTCTTTGTCAGTTGAAAACAAAGACAGACTATGAGAGACCCTCTGCACATACCTCACGGCATGTGCACAGTGGACAAGTGAAACAAAATGATCATTGAACTTTTGCGCCAAAGCAGCTCCTTTTACGGTGATACCCTCAATTTATATCTCAGTTACCCCATCTGCGTGCGACCCTTGTTTTATTAATCCATTTCATTTTTTCCATACAACATCTGATCTCATTATCTTTAAATAAATTTTCAAAATATGTGCATTTGGACTGCCTTAAAGTCTTTGTTAAATGATTTTTAAGTTTCTTTGATGCAAACAAGATGTTAATGTCTTTAGTGTGTAAAAATCTGTGGTAGTGCACATTTTTTAAATTTATCTTTCTCTGTGTTTTAGGCGTAACCCAGGGTTTATGACACTTTCGAGGAAATTATTCAATTTGTAAGAAAAGCAATGATGATATATAATCTTAAACATTTCAAGGAAACAATTAAACGCTTCGTCGGCAGACATGCTAAACAGTACCGCACTTCAGCTTTTAGAATTTATCTGTTGTTCAAAAACATCAAGGTTTCTAGTGCTTATATTCCAAAAAAAAAAAGTCTGAGGATCACATATCTTTTTTTAACTGTAGTCCACATTAAAAAGCATGTGTATTGGAAGGTGATCACCAGTAGTTTCCCTGACCATGCCAGCAACTATGTCCGTTTCTGAAACATTTGCAAAAAATAAATTCAGCAATGCCTTATTTCTAAGTGTTATCCGAGTAGGTTGAAATACAACATTAAAAATTCATGATTGATATAGAGAATTTTATATCTATATGATTATATAGATATAAAATTCCTTGACGTGGGAAGACACAACCATGTCTATATTGAAATCCCCAGCAAAAATAGACATTCAATTTAATTTTACAAGTAAACTTAAAATACCCTGTGAGAAACTCGAGAAAGGAGGATATACTACCGCTTGGCAGGCGATCGACAACAAAAAAAAAAAAACAGTACTTGCATGTTGTAAAGTTAATATTTCATAGTCGTTTGTACTAGCTGTAAAGTCATTAGTAAATGTACAACCCAGACTTTTTTTTACATGTACACATACTCCCCTCCTACTTTATTGGTTCTGTTTGCACTAAATATTTCATAAATCTGGGGCCTATCCACTTCACTGACATTTTTATTCCCATGTTTCAGTGAGCATAATAACCTCAATTAAAATTGAAAACCTTTTAAAAATATATTTATAGTTCATCAAACTTATTCCATATCGATTATACATTTAGCCGAAATAATGAAAAGGGCACATTCACCTTGTTTCCAAAAACGTTTTGATTTCACTTCACAAGGAACAGGTTGTGTCATTCATAGCAAAAAGAAAAGAAAAAGAAAAACCATTCAAAAGAAACCACCAGCAGCAGAACTATTCAAGCGTCTGCAAGTCATTCAGTTTTCACTATACATGTGCTTGTGCCCCATGTTTCTCCCTTACCAGTACTTTTCCATGTTTGTACCAAACATATTGGCATCTTTGACGTTTGAGACGTTTTATGCTTGTCCCCTCCTTCGTCTGTCATCTCCAGTTTCTTCAAATATGTGTATTGGTATTGTTTTGCCTTTGCCCATTCTGTCATTTTCCAAAGAAGTGTGTGTCCCTGTTGCGTTAAGTTTTCCAAGAGATACCGTAGGCTCTGCTTCAAGCTCACTTCAAATTCGCCTATTTCTCCGGCCACAAGTCCCATGTTGCTTGGCTTTCTCTCCTTATTGCCCCTGAAGTGCACCTAGTGGTGTTTCATCTGCTTATCATTTGCTATGCTTGGCAGGCATATGCTGCTGCAAGACCTTTCAATCTCTTTCTGGTGATAACAAATCAGTGCAAGTTTAAGTTACACAGTGCTCAACACTTATAGGTAAATGTCCCACAGAGAATAAAGAATTGGTCCATAAAAAATGAATGCTTTCATTATCAGTATCTGTTCAGCTCACATCACGAGCATACCAGGATAAATTGATATCTCTTGATTGCAAATGTTTTTTTGTCTAATTAAAAAAAAAAATTAAGTGTGCTTGTTTGTACAGGATATATGGTACATCTAACTGAGGTTACACATGTTACCTTTAATGAAATCAGCTTATTACAATTACATGCCCATTTAATGCGACAAATTGATCGCTAACAAAATGGTGCCAAGCTGTTTTCAATTATATCAATTCATATGTGAATCTTGATTTCATACTATATTATAAATATTAGATGAAAATCTCTGGAGCTGCATATTACATATATATAGACAGCTTTAACATAAACGAGCGAGTTATACAGCTATAGCTTGTAAGCAACAAAGACATAAAAATAAGGGACATGAAATGAGCCAAAATGTGCTTTTAAACTCCTAAGGTTTTCCGACAAGCATTCAGCTTTGCTTCAAAACACTTCAAGCCGACAAATAAAAAGAAACGAGCCCCGTTAAAAGGTTTTACACTATACAGGGTACTGGCACAAATATAGATTATAAGTAGGGCAAAATAAGACAACATACAATAAAATACTGAGCATGCATTTCAGGGGTTCCCAGATATCGGGCGTCCCAGTAATGCACACCCACTTTGTTGGTTGCAATCTTGGGGAGTGAATGGGGAGGGGGGGGGGGGGGGGGGGGGTTGCTATGAGAGACATAAGGGCTCCGAGTGCCAGATGGCCCAGCTACGCGTGGCCCAGCTATGCGTGGCCCAGCTATGCAACTGGGAGCAACAACGCAACAAAAATGTAGAAGGGGCACATGAGAGGGTACACTCCACCAGGAGGTGGAGCCCATCCTCTCGTGTGCCCCTTCTACATTTTTGCATTCTGACATAAGTGCCCACCCTCTTGTTTTCTAAGATTATCCCCAAATATTGAGTGGGTGCTTGCTCGTTACCAGTAGTACTTTCATTTCTTTGATTCAGAAGTTTTAGTTGTGCATTAAACTGAAAATATAGCTGCAGATTATTAAGTTTCAGCTGTTTTCAAGGCCTCATCAAGTAGCTAACATTTTGAGAAATTTGCATCTACATCTTGAAGCTGCTCACGATGTGGGCCATCAGGCTCTTGCCACTCGTTAGATGTTCAGGAGCAGATGGAAGCGACTCTAATATAATATGCTGCTCTTTAACATCAAGTGTTCAACATTTGGCATCTGTGGGAATTGGAGTCAGAGGTCTCAAATCCTTAAAAAGTGACCACCTAGCTGAAAGGAGGTGAACAGGGGCTTCAAACACATGCATCATGCACACTACGATAAACGGCATCGCTGCTTTCCGCCCAGCTTGAATGCTTCAAGATGCACGTCGCCTGACGCTTCAAATTTTCGGGACAGCTTTTACGAAAGCTTGAGGCGCAACCGAACAAAACCACCGATTATAAAGCCAGCGCCCTTTTTTCACCTTTTTAAAGGCTCCAGCTCATCATCTTCATCACGCTCCTCCTCATCATCTCGCTCATCCTCAAGCAGTTCGTCTGCCTCGAGGCCAAGTCAATCCAGTAGCCACAGTTCATCTGTTTGGAAGCCAAGCCAACCCAGCAGTTCATCCGTCTGGAAACCGAGCCAGTCCGGCGGCCACAGTTCATCTGTTTGGAAGCCAAGTCAACCTAGCGTCTCCAAGCCAAGCACTTCCGGGTTTGACTCGCCTTTTTTTGCTGGCCACAAGCCGGCTCAGCAGCCAAGCGTTGCTCCTGGCTTCAGACCCATGATCCCCAGTGCTCCACCAGCTGAACCTTCTTCAGTCAGGATCCCAGGTCACATGCCAAGTGCACCTGGCTTCAAGCCTGTGGCATTCCCAAATGCTCCGACATTTCCCCAAGGAGGCAGTATGCCATCAGCCCACTATCCTAGCCATAACCAAGGTCACGCACCCAACTTTAAACCTGCAGCTGTCCCAAGTGCTCCCACAGCTGAAGAACTTGGCATAGGATCGAGCCACTATCCAAGCCAAAAGCCAGATCAGAGACCTAGTGCTCCTGGCTTCAAACCTGTGGCTATCCCCAGTGCTCCCACAGCTCAAGGGCCTGGCATCACGAGTCATTATCCAAGTCACCACCCGACCCAAGCCCCAAGTCGTTATCCCAGTCACTACCTGACCCAAGCCCCAAGTCGTTATCCCAGTCACTACCCGACCCAAGCCCCAAGTCATTATCCCAGTCACTACCCGACCCAAGCCCCAAGTCGTTATCCAATTCACTACCCTACACAAGCCCCAGGTCATTACCCGAGCAACTTTCCAGTAGTGGCGCCGGGCCATTACCCCAACCCTGTTCCAAGTCATTATCCAAGCCACTATCCAAGCCATGGCCCGGGTTCTTACCCAAGTGGTTTTCCCAACCTTTTCCCTAGTAATACCTCACCCCACCACCCAGGCTACATTCCAGGCAGGTCCCCAAGCCATGGCACAAGCATGCTTCCAGGAGGTATTCTAGGCATGATCCTAGGCAGCTCGCTTAAGCCAGGCAAACTGCCAAAGCCAGGCAAACTGCCAAAGCCAGTCAAACTCCCGAAGCCTGGCAAGATTCCAAGACCGGGCAGGATCCCAAGGCCAGGCAGTAACCCAGGGATTGTTCACAGTCCACTTCCGGGTGGCCTTCTGGGCCCGATTCGCCCTTCGAAAAAGTCCTTTTTCATTGACCTTCTTCTGGCTGCCATGCTGTCCAAAGGCAAGCTTGAACACCGAAGACGCTGGGCAGCCATGTTCGGTTCGCCTCAGAGGATTCGCTTAGGACGGAGGGTGCACGGATCCTATGGCAATGTAACATGGAACGGAACGATGGCCGACACTCAGATGGGAAACCCCAGCGATGATGCCTACGTTGGTAAGCGGTGCCTTGTGCTTCCGTGTGGGTAAGCTGCAACTCCGAGATTTGTGCTAGTAAAAAAGACCACTTTATTTAAAATAAAAACTACAAGGGGCTCAGTATTGCTGTCTGCCATTTGAGCACTTGTCAAGCGGTAATGGACATTGTGCACTCCAACATTTAAAGAATTAAACTTGAATAGAATGTTTGTTATCACCAGGTCATGTGATTGAAACTTGCAGATGACACCATTCAGAAAGAATATCATTGCAAAGTTGTGCAATTGTGGTAGCTTAAAGGCAATAATAACAGCCTGCAAACAATTGGTTCTCAGCAGTGTTTAAAGTAAATATTGCAATTGTTTATTGATGCCAAATGCTGCCCTGCATGCAAAGCCATGCCATAGAACAGAGACCCATCAAATTTCTTGGTTTAGAATATTTCTACATTGAACCTCAGCTGACTTTGGGCTGCCCGTTTCTAAATTTGATTTTTTTTTTTTTTTTTTTTTAAGTTTCGCTATGTTAGCAGAACTCCTCAAATAATTTTGTCAAGCAAAAGTTGCCCGAGATAGCATGCAAGGGCAATAGGGAGTTTCAGAAGACCATGTTTTCCTAGAATATTAGTATAGAAAACTCGCCTTGCCACTTCCACGACCGGGATTGGGAGTCTTTTGTCAATGTTTGTGTCTCTTGCGTGAGCCCCGATTGATGAACAGCACTATGCTTGAAAAGTCGTAACCAGACCACTTGGGCATGCATGCTGGAGAGACCTTGCAGTAAAATATCCCGCTTCCGCAAGTACCTTTATCTCTGACCACTCCTCACGTAAATTGAATGAAAATTTTTCAATATTTTCTCGATCACCACAATTCCTCCGCGCTCGAAGAAACTCCCCGAGAAGTCCCCCATTTCCGAGGGTTTCCATAGTGCACAAACAGAAGCTCAATCGAATGCGTCGTTCCTACGTCCATAGCACAAGGGCTGCGGACTCTGCCAGCGAGCTAGAAACAATTCAGTTTGTGCCACTGTCTATTTTGGGATGCATGTAGCACAGTCTACCCGTTGGTCTGTCTGTGTGCAGAGGAGTGCCGCTACAAAAAGGAGCCTTGGGAGGACTGCGACCGTGCCACCAACACCCAGAAGCGCAAGCTGGTGCTCAAACGAGGCAGTGGCAAGTGCGAACCTACCAAGGAGCTCACCCGCAACTGCAAGAAAGGTGTGCATGGGGCGCGACCCCCAGCGAGCCCATAGAAAGCAAGGCCTGCAGCAAACGTCGTCACTAGTGGATCCACACAGCGCTGCCTAGCTCGCGTCGCCGCCAGCATGTCTTTGAAGCGTCTCACGAGCAGTAGTGTGCGGTGATGCCGTCTGCTGCTTGGGGCGGATCCACTAATGACAACATCGTGAGCAGGCCTCGTCTTCTAGACGGGTTTGATGCAAACTTCTGCACAAGCACTAAGGAAAGTGTAAGCAGTGCTCGTGCGGAGTTAGCCACGTTGCTAAGGCTTCCGACGCGTTTTAGCCGACGTCAAAGTCTTCATTTTACGCAGCAGCCGGAATGCCTTCCCGCCGTCTAAAATGCCTTAAAATGGCATCTGGTGTCTCTGCTGTAGATGGGGCTTTTGGTTCCTATAGCATGACTGCTAACCGGGAGTCTTTAATGTAAATTGTTATAGTTGACCTCAATTATAACATAAGGTGGCAGCCACAAGTTTGCCATACGTTACGAAAGATACCGACGCTTTCTTCAGGGAGAAGGAGACGGCATTCAATTGTATTTTTGCAGGATGTCCCTTCTCAAGATAGTTAAATTTTAAGCTAAGAGCACCTCCGTGTATTCCAGCAACCTGGCACGTGCAGAAGGGGCTGCAAGAATGTGCATCACCCTAAAGTGAAAACATAAGCAAGCCGAGAATTTATATCAAAATGAAAGGGAGAAACGGACAAATTCCCTTTGGTTCCTCGCAGCATGCAGATACGAGAAAGGTGCGTGGAATCCGTGCAACACGACAGCCAACACGAGGACTCGGGTGGACAAGATCAAGCCCCGCAGCGACCCCACCTGCGAACCCAACCGCACCGTCACCAAGAAGTGCAAATCCGGTATGTCACATCCCTTTGCTCAACCGTTTTATATAAAAATGCTGAAAAAAATTTAATTTATATATTTTTCCTAACTTCTCAACTGCCTAGTTTACGCCGCACAACCCATTAAATCCGAATGTGATTTCATCATAATTTAATACGTGAAATTTTAGCAACCAAGTTCTAGCCCCTCATGGCCACTTTGGTTGCCACATGCACAAAGGTTAGTGTAAAGGCCCATTCACACACTTTAATCTGCTTGCGACCGAGCTCTTGGATCTCTAACGATGAGCACATCCTGGCACCATCTATGAGGTGACCCTGGAAGTGCGATTCACTCGAGCGGAGGTTTGGCGATATTAAATGTGTACATACTATCAACAAGAAATGAATGTTTTTACGTTTCAAAGGTTTTTCGAGCCAAGAAAGAATGCTGTTGGAACACAATAAAAACGGAAAGCGTTTCCCGATAGATGGTGCCAGTGCGAGAGGTTTTAAGGCACACAGGTGTAAGCTGTACTTCTATCTTTTGCCATGTGATCACACTCTCTCGTGGATACCCACGCGCAGAGAGTGGGGTCGGGTGATGGATTTAAGCTCAAAGGCGGCCGATTCGTCCGGCGAGTGCGTAGCTCCTACCACCCCGTCAGCCTAGGGGTGAACAGAGTATAGTGAGACCGTGTGTCACACAACGTGCTTTGGGTACCTTGGACATGTCGCAGTGAAAAGGCGGAGAACTTCGGAGGAAAGAAGGCAGAAATAGTCCGCTCTTTCGAATTTTCGTACCAAAAAGCGGGCTTTTGGCTTCTTACCTCCTTTCTTTTGAACATTATGCTATTAGTTCCAATCTAAATTCATTTATCCTAGCCCAAATTTAATTTCATGGCCCCTTTAACTACTCCTTACAACGGTCGTTGGAGCGATTTGTGAATGTGACGGTGCTCGATAATCTGCTCCGGTGGTACCGCAGGACTGGGCTGCCGCTACAACCGCAGCGTGAAGTGGAGCGAGTGTGACCCCCAAACGCTGACCCGGACCAAGACCATGCCCCTGGTGAGCGGCAACGCCCCGGGCTGTGAGAGCCACAAGCTGGTCACCAAGCCCTGCCGCAACGCCGACCGAGCCGCCAAGCGCAGGAGCAAGCAGGGTACGGCACGTGCGCCCACACTAGCTCCGGGGTCTTCCTCCGGTCCCCTTCTAGACACGTAGCCAATTGGCCCTGATCTACGAAACGGGCCTGGCGACGATATCCTCGTGCAGCTTTGGGAATGGTGGTTTGAATCGAATAGTGCCGCGTCATTCGCGACAACGTCCTCGTGTGGCGACGTCGTAGTCGCCGACGGATTGGCAAGTCTTTGGAACCTCTGACACGCGCTCTGTTGAGGTGCACGAGACGCGCAACTACTGTGGGAGGTGGGAAGCTCGCACCGGGGGTGGGACATTTCCTTCCCACCCTTCTCATTTTGTCAGCGACTGCAGCGGACCAATTGAATAGCTCCGCATCATTCGTGGCCTTTGCAGTACGACGTATCGATTCTCTTTCAAGCACTTAGGCTAGGAATTATAGTGCACTACACTCCCCTAGACAATGCCATCAGCGGTGTGATACTAAATGTTTCAAGTTAAAGGGATACTACAACGAAATTCCGGCGCTAATTTTTTGGTCTCTATGTGTTCAAAAGAGCAGCATCACATCGAACATACCAATATCTTGTTAAAAAAGTCACGTAAAGGAATTTTAAAACAAATTAAACAATTAGCAAAGAGCACCTGGTGGATGTCGCTAACGCCTCGCTTGTAATGCCCGTCTAGGAACCTTGACAGCTAGTGACGGAGGTTGTCTCGCCTCCAGCCACGAAGAGAGAAGAGGGGAAGGGGGAACTCCTGTCTTCCTGAGGGTCCCTTTTGTGTGTCGCAAAAGTCGCTATTGTCCCCCTACAAGATTACAGAAGATTAACCCGTCACTTAAAATTCTTACAAAAGCAGCCGCTTCAAAGGCTGGAATGACTAGGCCACCCTCTCGACGTCAGCCTCGCCGTAGCTTTGGTCGTCCTAAAATGACCAACGTCACGATTGCGTTGGATGTTACGTGGTCTCCGCTGGGCTTTCTCCGGGCGCTTGCCAGAGTGGGCCGTTTATAACGAAAAATACAGCCACCAGGCTCAAAATACAAACGGGCGATTGTCATTTGCGGATATTGTGGATCATATTCAACCTATTTTTGAACACGACGGGGATATTTCAAATTTTGTTGAAGTATCCCTTTAAAAAAGCAGGGGGGGCTTCCTCTTCCAGGAACAAACATTTTGTTTAATGTCATTCGTTGTTTGGCTTGCTCCGTCGACCGCAACAAACTGTCCACATGCTATGCTGGAACGTAGGTGCACGGGCCTCGCTCGACAACATTACTATTCTTAGACTAAACAGGGCTTGTCAGACGAACCTCGTACTGCGGCAAAAAGTCTTGGTCAATGGTGAATTAATATGCTTCTGTTCTCTCCCACAGATGAGGAAGAGGAAGAAGAGGAGGAATAAGATCAGCCTCTGCCTTTTTGTGTACTTTGAGGGGTGAAAGTACTCCACAAATCGGTCCCATTTACCTTCTCCCAGTTTCACAATTGCAGTGACTGGTCACAACATTGAAACATTCGTTTTGAGGGGAGGGCTTTGGGTTTGTTCGCAAACATTTGTCGCTGTGCCAGTTTCAGCCGCTCAGGCTCCAAAGAGATGGTGATGACATCCTCAAGGCACTACCATTCATTTTTCGTGCGTAAACTTGCTCGTTGCTGGTTAAATGGTTTGAGGGGTGGGTTGTCGCGAGTTTTCCGTCTTCACTCGATAGCTTGCAAAGAACTGTAACCTCATCGAAATCGCGGTGTCATAAAATGCAAGTTTCCAAACTCAAATGCTCATAAATGTAGGTCAATGTAGAGTTATATACAAAGAAAAAAAAAAAAAAAAAAAAAAGCAGTTTCAGACATTTGCGTTTTTGCAAGTTTGCTTTTTGCGTTCCAGCGTTACGACCCAAGTCCTGACACTTTTTAAGCCCGCGTTCAAATACCGGTGGCATGGATGAAACAATTCCCGGTTTGGGGACGGTGTAAATTTTTTACATTTTCATCGACATGAATCGCCCTTTCATACCTGTGGGTCACAGCACAAATTTACTCAACTGTTTGTGGTGGCAAAAACAAGAACAATTATAGCAGTTCAATCTTTTTTTGTTCAAGACCTTTTTTTTCAATTGAATGCCAGTGGCTCTGTTCTGCTAGGGTACAGCCAGCTTTCCTCGTGAACCTCCCTTCCTTCTCCCCGTGTGCTACGTGTTAGGTGTACCTGTGATGGGTGTTTTTCGGTGTCTGGACAACGAAAATATGTGCCAAGTTGCATTGCTTCCTCTCAAAATAAGATAATAAAAAAAAAGCCTTCAACAAATGGTGTTCATTATTACATTTCATGAAAACACGCTGCATCTTTAATAGAACTTGCAAACTTCCAACTGAAAATCCTTGAAAACGATGGACAACATTCTAGCGTTTTTAGTCACTGGTTCTCAAAGTAGGTGTCCACAGACCCAGTAGGGTCTCCAAGGCCTTGCAGCCCAGCCTTAAACCATCAGACCAAGCTGAGCAATACAACTTTTTAAATTTTTTTTATGATGTTTATTTTTTTACATAGCTAGAGAGACCAAACAATATGTGCCCAAGTAGGGTTCATTATTCTTCGTTTCAGAGCTTCAGAGTTGGAGTGCACCAGGGATGGGAAAAATACTTTAAAAAATGTATCAAGTACAAAATACTTCAACAAAAATGTATTTAACTACAAATCCAATTACCAAATTTTCCAGACTTTACATGTCTAAAAGTTAGAGAATTTACCCATGCAGACTATACAAGGATGTTTTTTCTCTTCTAGATCCTTCACTGTGACAATACGTGAAGAATTTTATGAATAACCGCCGAATTCACAAACTTCACTCCAATTGAGGGGACCCTCAGCTTCCTCGAGTTTGTAACAAAGAAGTGCCTTTTGAAGTTCCGTGAAATGTAAATAGTGCATCATAGGGTTTGTGCATGCCACCTAACACGATACAACATTTTACAGTGAAGCTGTTTATGGCTAAGGTTCCATGGAATTTTTCGTGTCATGACCAAAAGCTCTATGCTCGCTTCACCGCACGCCTTCCCGGAATAAGATTCAAAGTAATTAACCAAAATTAAATGTTGACAAATGCACCTGCAAGATGCCCTTTGTTTTACGCTCATACTTTAGAAGTTACTGCTGCAGATGCTAGCATGTGGAACACCATTCCCTGCATTCTCCTTGATGCTTGGGTAATTTAGCAATAGGTCTATTCAGTAGATTAGTTATCAATAGGCACCATTTTCAAGATCAGTAGACTCTTGGGTAGGTAATAAAGGTTTCTCAAAGATTTGCCGCTGTGCGACCCAACGTTACTCTATCAACTCGGTTGGCAAACTCCCACGGAGAGCGCCATCCCTTTTCATAACCCTCAGCCGGGCGAACGCCGTTTGAAGCGCCAACCTTCTTGCTCACTGCGACGAGTCTTGCAAGAGCAGTTCAAAACACAGCCGCAGCGAGCAAGAGGGGCGACGCTTCAAACAGCATTTCCGAATCTAGGGGTTATCAGCGGAAACTGGCGTGCGTCAGCGCGCCTTAGAAGGGATCACGCTCTTCATGGGAGTTCGCCAACAGAGTTGATAGAGTAACATTGGTGCGATCAGCGTCGGCCATGTCTACGCTCGCACCACCCTCTCTGTCATTATTCCAAGCCGTTGCATGCCTAATTTCCTTTCCTTCCGCTCTCCCGGGGTGGCAGTCCCAATGCATTGTCTAATTTCCTCCGGTTCCTCGGGGTGGGTTGGTCATCCACCGTCACAGAGTGGAATGGCTCATGATTTTTTTCTTCCATGTTTATTAGGAGCAAAGTGCAGCAAGTTTCACATGATCTTAGGCATTGCAGAGTGCATATCACATTTAAATGACAAGTGCCCAAAATTGTATTCGGGCAGTATTTCAACTACAAGAATTTTAAATACATATTTGAAATACTGCCCATTCCTGGTTTGCATACATCTTTTTCATTTACCCTTTGGTCCCTGCAATCGTCCTCCCTGGTGGATAAAGTCTGCCGATCCAGGCGGGGTCCCCGAAACATCGGCGGAGGGGAACCACTAATTGAACCAGTGGAACTATCATCCCTATATGTTGCAAAGAAAATATCTGTGCTCCACATTTTTACACGTTCCTGTACCTGTTCAGCGATTTGGTTTTTGTACTTTCCCTCTACTATGCATCTCATTTTGTACTCGAAAAGGATCCACAAAATAACTTTTAATCAAAAAAGCGAAACTTTTGCGTTTAAACTCGACAAATTACAACTTGAGGAGAAATATGTGGGGCAAGTGAAATCATGCCAGTCAGTCTTTACCTCTGGCACACGAGCCTTGGAGGTAAAAAAAAAATTACACGCACCCCATCGTATGTGTGTAGTCCTCCCAGGCAGAAAAACTATCAGTGCAAACCAGCCAGCACATCTAGAGGAATCTTATGTCGCGCGGAACAGTAGTCTTTACTCGCACACCAGCCGGGGGATGTTTAATTCGCCACCTCCTAAGCAATAGACCCTTTTCAAAAGTCCCTCAAGCAACATTGGCGGTCACCACTGCTTGCTCACAAAGTGCGATTGGATCAGATTTCATGCCGAACGCCGAAGCAGAACGTTGTGTCCAATAAATGCTCATAGTATGTGAGCAAGCAATGGCGGAAAAGTGATGGCACAGACTTTTGAATAGGAACTATTTCTCCAACATTGGGCAGACATCCCACATTGCTGGCACAGGGGCCTTGCCAGTAGGCAGGAACATGAATAGCCAATGGGCCTTTTTTCAGTAAGCTTCCGCACATGTGCACAACCTCTCCACCGGCCTTGCCGTCTCCATGTTCGCGGGGCACCATCTTGCACAACGAACATTGTTAGTGTATATCTTGCCGTGTATTTAGTCTTTCTTGGCAATTCTTTTTCTGGGTATCCGTAGCATCGGGCATTAAAAACAGTGGAGACCGATGCAGCGGCACAGTGTCAACGCGCTTTGATAAGCGGAGTCCTGTTCGGCTGCCCTTCATTCGCAGTTTGTGGACAAACCGCCGCACGGCGCTTGTTACTCGAAAAAGGTCCATCCAGCAATGTGGAGAGCAAGTCTTCTTCTTGCACATGAGTTGCGGTGGCATCAGAAGGACTCTGAGCTCTTATTGGCCGATTGAAAAAATGGTGCATAGACCTCAAAGCATCTAGCATCTTTTTCAGTCAGCCAATAAGAGCTTGGTGTTGTTCTGACATCACCGCAACTCCTGCGCAAGCAGCAGAGGACTTGCTCTCCGCATAGACTTACCTACTTCCTCTCGTGGCATAGAAGCAGCCAAGAGGTGGCCGCGCTTCGACTAGTCTGCACTTGTTTGCTATTATTGGAAACTGACCTTGAAGAGATTACCGAAACCAATTTATACAAGGTCCCCCGAAGTGGTAACGAGAGGAGGCTATGCACAAGCTAGACTGCAGACGAAACACCTTTATTGCTTCTCTGTACAAAAATTGTGCACGATCCCAAGGCCACCACAGGGTGCAACAATGTGCAGTAGAAAAGAACTGTCCATATGTACAATATCACAGGATTCATTCTCTGCACCTTTGCCGAAGTGTTGCACAAGGATTCAATACCGCCTAGCACGACTCGTCAAGCATACCTACCTGTCTTGGGTATTAGGAAAATGGAGAATGGTCTTAACCTGCCTGGCATTTTAGGATGTTGTCAGAGCTGTCTCTGGAGAGGACTTGGCAATTGAAATAACATCCAATAAAATGGCAATTGTGCTAACCCATTCTGTAATCATCGAAAAATCAACGCATTTAAAAAAAAAGTGACAGTTATTGATGACCAAATCCAAAGTACAGCCAGAAACACATAAAATATATAAAAGTGTTTAGCATTTTTAAAAATTCCTCTCCATCAGCTAGGTTGCCCCACATTTGATACAAAGTAATCTAATGTTTTGACTGACGGCATATTCGCTCGGTTTGCTTTTAGAACGTTGTCTATGAAATTACACTTGTAATACCAAATGTAACCTTGCCACGCTAAAAATACATCGAAACATCCTTTTCACAATGCACTTGGATCATTTTCAATGGGCAATAAGGCACACTGCAAATATGTCACACACACCTAGTCCAGCAAGCATTGAAATGACAAATGAATGGATATCACTCTCAAAACAAGTTCAGGTCTGCATTTGTTACAGCATTTGTAGCTGTAACCTTATGTTGGTGCGATTGTGAATTCTGCGCTAAAATAAACCTACAGAAGAGTTTTTTTGTTTTCCAGCAACGAGCCAGATTTAGCAAGGAATTAAGACTAAGGCAACCACGTTCAAACATGATAAAAATTAGATAAAAAAGATGGCAGCACCTTAGCATCTGCTATCAACTGCAAGTGCTAAAAGCACAGTTTAAAATACGAGTCAAATCTCTGCACTTTTTGTTTGCAAATTCCCTCGAAGACCATCAATAATGTACAACTGTTGGCTCCCTTGTGCTTTTGTACGACCTCACTTCGAGTATATGGTTGGACTAAGATAATATTTGCACTCGAAACAGTCATCTATTTCTGTGTAATTCATGGCAAATCTACAGGAATTGTAAAGCATTGTATCGAAAGGAAGTTTGTTCAGACATGCTTGTCACTTACCAATGCCTTCCTACATACTAAACACACGTAGAAAAAAAAAAATGTTTCCTTCGGTTGGATTGTTAAAGCAATTTTAAAAAATTGGTTTTTTTTTTTTTAGTTGTGCCAATAAGTGTTGAGTCTACCCATTTCATTTCTGTCTTGAAAGACTGGAATACACATTTTGCTCATTTACTAAATGAAAATAATGTCTCAAACATCATCAACTGTCAATTGATATATTTGAAGGATTGGCAATACTGTTCAGTGTGCAACTTTAGTTCAGGCTCTACCGACTTGCCACCATAAAAGAATCGTGCAATCTCCTGCGATCACGCGAAAAGCTGCAACTGCATTTAAGGCCCGCTACCAGTATACTGGGAAGTTGTGCCGCATTGCACATCGTGAAAGGGACACTGAACGTAGCTTTTAACCCTCTCTAACGAGCGACCCCTTATGCCCTTGACAAGCGAGAGCACTTTTGGCAGGGATTCTTGAGTTCATACTTATTTGCACAAAAGCAATGCGTTCTCAAGCCGAGAAGGCCTTTTCTTCTCTAGCTGCATGGTGGAAGACCCGGCGCCTACGTCATTTCAGAAAGGCGGTCGCAACTGTCTCGCAGCACGAGCGATTAACTTTTTGCGCTGCGCAGATATGTTCCCGCATGCAAGAAGACAATTGAAGCTGCGTGCTCGTACACCCCTACTTTGCAGGATTGCATCCGAGCTCGCACCCATGTTTTGTTCGCAGCTTGCGAGTCGCATCGGACATTGCGGCGACGTTCGCAGTCAATCACCGACCACAAAAGGGTCAGTGAGCGAGCCAAAATCGCACTGCGGCGCCCTCGTGTATATTCTTATTCTTGAAGGGGGTCTCGGAGAGTACTTCTGTATCCCCTTAACAAGAGCACGGTGAGGACACATAGAATATAGCGGGCAAGACGCTGCCCCAAAGCTGAGAAAATGCCTTCTTTCACGGGCTTTGGCAGTGCCACCCGAGTCTGGTACAACGAGCAAACTTTACGTATGAATCCCTGACGAGTGGCCACGAGCATATCGTGAAGAGACGTTCTAAAGCGCCGAAAAATGAGTGAGCGCTTACCAGAACGTATACTTCCTCGCTGATGAAACCAAAATGACTCTCAAGAAAACTCTAAATTCAAACTGCTCAAGATGACACCAAATCAATCACTATAGGGAAACTAAATCAAACAATGCGAGACTCTTTAAAATCAAACTGCTCAAGATGACATGAAACCAATCAATTTAAAGAACCTAAATAAAAGAAATAAAAACTTCAATTTGTAAATAAAAATCTGGATTACATGTGGTAAAGACGAGCAAACAACCCAGTGTTTACACAACTCTGAGGCAACTCTCGTTTAATTTTCTCGAAGATTATTATTTCTTTTTTTATGCCAGGAAGTTCTTTTAGAAGCAGTTAAGAAGCAATAAATGAATTCTGATAAAGAGGGAAGGAACTACTAGTAGCTGCCCCAGCGCCGAACAGGAGGATGGCAGGCAGAGAGCAAACATAAAGAAGTGCCTAGGCAAACCTTGCCTAAACATTCATTACATTAGGCAATGAGGGCGAGGCTTCAATATTGTTGGGGACAGAAGAGAGCATTCTATACGGGAACATTGGAGCCTTTGCTTCATTGTGCATGCTCAGCCACACCTTATGGCTGAACTGCAGCAAAGCCAGTCTGCCGTGAGCACGCACAATGGGTGCGTTTAAAAATGGTGGAAAATAATGTTTCTAATTAGTTTTCTTCGTTAAAGGTCGGCGACCAGACACAAGATTCTGCATGGCAGAAGATCCTCCTAACCTTGCGGGAGAAGGAAACAGGCAACGGTGCACAGGGTAGAAGGGGGAGAGGAGGAAGTAAGAGAGAAGTGGAAAGCGCAAACTGGTCGTCAATCTTCAAACTGCTCACGAGTGTTACTTAGGTAGGTATAATGTTGTTCCTACAATAAGCTAAAATCGAGTAAATCTTTTACTTCTTTGTCTGCATTTCTTTTTTTTTTTTGCAGTCTCTAAAAAGATTTTGTAGAAGAATTTTTTCTGTACACTGTAAAACCTATTTAATTTAGATAGAATAACCTAGGTGAATTTACAGTTCAGAGATGCGGAGGTCTGGCATCATGAAATGCACTATGCGGCCACAGCAACACGCACACAATTAGAGAAAAGAGATTATAGACAGGAACAGATTGAAGTTAAAGTGCCTTTTGGACTCGACACTTCTTAACCTGCAACTTAAAAAAAGAAAAGAGAAAAAAGCAACAACACAAGGAGGGTAAGAGGAGCCAGTCGCACGCAGCTAACCAGTTAATTAAGCTGCACAACACCGCAAAAGTCTCTGCACACAAAAAGCTCTGGGATGACGATGAACTTGAAAGCCAGTGATGAGCCTCCGACTAGGCAATGCTCCGAAAGATGGTGAATAGTCTGTATTGCACACTGTTAGCCTCCCCACGTTCACAAGTGTCTCTCCAACTGCAAATGAGCGGTCACCTTTGGAAACTGTCAATGAGGCCATCATAAATTCGGCCGACTGCTCGCAGAGAGAAAAAGTGGCATCTGTCTCTTGACTAGCATCGTCACCTCGAAGGGCACCGAGGCTTCCGGGCCAGGCCGAACCTGGATTCGCACAACGGGAGACACCCATTCCTCCTTGCCATCTAACGTGTGGGAAGTGACATGACGGAGAAAAACAAACTGAATAGCAACAACCTGGCTAAGTGGACAGGGTCTGGAGTTTGTTCCAGCAGAACACTGACCCGAACAGCCCGTCGATCTAGGAATGCTGTCGAGGCAACCCACCATAATTACCTTAAGCTTCAACCAAGTAATATAATAAAAAAATTTGCTAATTGCAAAAAGCATTGTTTTTAAGAGATTAATTTTAAGGTGCAAGCTTACTCGCGGTTGATCCCTCAAACGTCAATTGCATAGCTTTTTTTTTTTTTTCCTCTTTCGTATACAATTTGTTTTGCCTCACCCATCAGTCTTCCCTAGAAAAGGTCCTAGCACGCATCAAATGTACCATTAGTTCGGCATGTCTGGCCGTTTTTGACGAGTAAGACCCGGTGCCCCGACTGGGTCCTTCGAGGACGCGAGTTGAAAAAATTCCCACACACTTGTAAGGAAGGCGAATAGCTGCCCACCCCCGCAGTCGTTTGGGTCGAGAGAGGGGTCAGTCCTGGAAGTAGTGGTAGACACGGTCGATGTGTCGCCTGCAGATGGGGCAGCGCTTGTTTTGCTGGAGCAGCTTGCGACTGCACCTGTAGCAGCCGAAGCGGTGGCTGGTCTTGCCGTGCCCCAAGATGGCGGTCCTTGGGCGCACCAGGCACATGGAGCAGGGGTCCTGCACACTTCCCACTTCCTGGGACACCCCGCTCGGCCCCGCTTCGAGCAGGTCCCGCAGCTCCTGACTAGAAGTTTCGCTGCCGACAGACGCCTCTGGAGACTCTTGTGGAGACTCCTGTGAAGACTCCTGTGTAGACACCTGTGTAGACACCTGTGTAGACACCTGTGTAGACACCTGTGTAGATGCCTGTGAAGATGCCTGTGAAGACGCTTGTGTAGACGCCTGTGAAGACGCCTGGGACTGCAAAGTGCATGCTAAACTTAATACAGACCCTAAAACTATTTTTGAAATGTGTAATGCATTACAGGGTTGGTGCCTAGCAATGTCCCGCAACATAGATTCCCATAACGCAACAGTGTCGCACGACCATTGGCGGTCTAGAAAATTTGAGGCCCTTTCTCAAACACGTTTGGCAAAAAGCATGAAATTTAAAGATGTCTCGGACAAGCAAGCTACGATGTGACGAGAGTGTTCCCACAGCTGCGGGCGACGCAGCTGGAGCAAGACGCACATTGACACGCGATGCAGAAGCGTAGCCTCGTAATCTGCTACTTTTGTTACTTTTTTTTCATAAAAGATGCTGTGGCAAGATGCCACAATACTGGCGAACTGAACTTGGCAAATGGTCAGCATTGCGGCAGCTCGAACACTTTCTTAAAACCTTCCTTCGATGTTGAATGGCAAGGCGACAACAGTACGAGAGCATTTTGCGCTTTCAAAAGCGTCAGACAAGGCTTGGAAGCAGTCGGTCTCGAACCGGGGTCCCTCCGGCTGCGAATCCGACTGTGCAGACTAGAAAACAGAGTCAGAAATGCCGTCAAGAGGCAGCGAGCACACTTACACATGAGGCGGGCGATCGCGGGAACCAAGGGGGAAGAGAATAAGTGCATGCTTTGGAGGAAACGGGGAGGGGAGAAATAGTGAATCAAAGCTGGGCTGTGCAACCCCCCCGCCAGCCTCGAACTTCGCGTTCCACTGCCACTCGAGCGCGAGTTTGGCAGGGCTTTCATTCAGAGACACTACGTGCGACGACGTTCGCGTAGCCGAGGTTTAAATAAAAAATAATGCTATGTTTAGCTGTCAAGGCCAATGCAACTACCTAGTACGAGACACAAAAAATGCAAGAACTAAACAAAACTGCAACTAAAACTTACCGTCTGTGTCCGAGTACAATCCTCCTGACTGCTCGTACTTGGCTCCTGCATGCCACAACATGCAAAGCGTCAGGAATAAATAGGACAATTGGAATGTCTACTTGCATGACACTATTCCATACTTGCAAGACACAGCCAGATACTGACTACCGATAATCCCCTACGAGTGCCCTGCCCCGAGAGGTCGTCCATCCCATTTCTTGGGCCACGCGATGGGCCTGCGGTATTTGTTTCTGAGAGACGCGTGTTTGTAGCAGTTTCCAGCGTTTCTTGTCCGCGATCTGCACGTGTGACATCGGTTCCCGTGACATGCGAGTTCGTAGCATGACAATGATATGGAGTTCCTAGTGACTTCCGGCGTATCGGCTTCTGTGATAGCCTAACGTGTAGCGAATTTACCAGTGTTTGTCGCACTGTGCAGTGCGAATCTGCTTCGTCCACGATCTACGGTATCAGTTCCTGTGACACGGGAATTTGAAGCGTATTTCCAGCGTGTTTAGCACACTGTGGAATGTGAATTAGTCATGTCCACAATACCAGTTCCTATTTCTTGCAGTTTGTAGAGTGTGCCCCAATGTTAATGCTAATTTTTTATAAAATTTTGCCGTGGCACGCTTAAATATCCCTTACCCCATATTTTTCACCATTTATCTCTTCATTTCGGGTGGGCATTCTGGGATTTTACGGTATTTCAGTCCTCGTTGCTCAAACAGTGCAAAAAACTAGGCTCCCAAGGAGCACTGTATAGTCAAAACATACTGCCTGGATAGGCCTAGTATGCCACGAAATACACATGCACCTAGAAAAAAATGAAGACAATATTCACACCACAGAAGGCAATTTAGACAGAGCCATGGATGGAGCGTATGGTCACTCTACCTTCCCACCTTACGCAGTGCGTGGAGGCAACAACAAAAAGGTGTGAAGGAAAGGTAACCAGTGTACGTGCCCCCCCTCTGCATTTTTTCCAACCAATCAGAAGCTAAGAAAGTGGCTCCTATTTCAATGCCGCTTTTGACCCAGCACGTGCAAACGGACGAAATCATCCGTAACTCAAACTGCCTCGTGCGGCATAAATATGGCTCTAATTAACCTCCCTTTTGGGAGGACAAGGGTCTTAACTATAGCCCAAAATTGCAAAATGATGTAATTTTGAAGCATTCATAGCACCGCAACACCCCCCCACTGGATACCTTCCACTTCGGTGCATTTGTGAGACAGATATAAAACGCCGAAAGGCAAGGTGAGGTAATGGGTTGGTTAGCGTAACTTGGCGATAATGAGGAGAGCCGGAGTTTGATTTCGGGCCCTACCAGAACTTTGCCTTTGGACGGCCGTGGAACCTTTATCCCATTTTATCAATTCGGTCCGATCATCCGCACATTTAAACGCTTTCACAAAAAATAAACGCTTGATTCAATCTTTAAGGGATACTGAACCGAAATATCGAGCTCACTAAACAAGGCCGGGCGGATAGGCGGGAAGCTGCAAAACTAAAAAAAATATCCCTCATACGGCGATATATCTAACGGATCGCAGTTATTTTTGGAAAAGAAGCGCGCGATTGAACCCGGCCGACGAGGCCGACGAGACAAGCCACGTTACCGATTCCCATTCTCTCTCCTCCTCGCTATGTCCCGTCATGCTGGTGAACCGAAGTGAGGAGGAGAGAAGCGAGGCCACTTCTCCTCATTCTCAAATTTTCCCGGAGGACAGTTACGTCAAAGAACTCGCTTGATCGTCCCTTCTTTTCCAAACATACGGCCATCCATTTGAAATATTGTTGCACGAGTGATGTTTTGGAGTTGGTAGCATTCCGTTCAACACTCCTACAGCCTTACTTTGCGAAATCCGAATTTCGGTTCAGTATCCCTTTAGCTCTTAAAAAACAGCAAATTTCAAGGAAGACATTAAAGAAAACTTGGTACTATTGTTATTTTCTGGAATAACCATAGTGCATGCTAAACCTTTAGTTTTTAAACTTGGGCTGGATAGACAAAAATGAACGATCAGCAACTCTGCGCAGCCGGTTGTCGTGGGTTCGGACTGTCTTGACGGCAACGTAACCGAGCAACGGTGGCGAGGCGAGGGAAAAGTGTCAAGTCACTCTGGCAGGCTGCTACACACTGGCGACTGCTTACGACCGTGTAACCTAACTCTTACAGAACACACTGGCGTCATCTGTTGAGTAACACTCGCAGTTTCCCTCCTACTTTCATCATTCTTCCTTTCTTGGCTCAAAAATCTTTTGCCAACATTATAAATTAGAAATTTCCACAAATCTCACAACTACTCCAAACCTGCGCTCTAGTGAAACTCCAGGGCCACCTCATAAATGGCACCAGCATGTTCTCTCCTCATCGCAGCTGCTCTGTCCCAAGCAAACTTGAGTGTTTCAACGGGCGGTTGCCACGCGGAGTCGCTCCAGGCGCAAGCAGACGCCACAAGGTGCCCAATGGATGCAGTATGCTGAACGAAGGCAAAGATGTGGAATGCTCAACATATGAGGTATGTCAACAAAGGCACGAGTGCGGTATGCTCACCGTAAGCCCCTGGGAGCCCAACGATGCGGGGGACGGCTTCCGCTCGTCGTCTCTGCCTATGGGCGAGGAGGTGCTCTTCCCGCTTCTCCTTTCGTGTCTCCTCTCCCTGCGCTGCCTCCAACGGCGCTTCTGCGGGGGATGCTTCTCTTGGCGGTCGGGCAGCCAGCCAAAGCGCCGCTTCCAGCACTTCTGGCAGTAGCGGTGCAGGGGCGTGTTCTGGGTCTCGCACAGCCGGCACTCCCACAGGTCCTGCACCACGGGGAAGAACGGCACCCCCGAGTTTGCCAAGCTCATCAATTCCAGAGTTCAACCAGTTCATTCATTCGGCCGAGCTCGCGCGTCTATCGACGAGGTATTAGAAGCGAGTCGGAAAGCGTGAGAGCAAAGCGTAGAAAGGAGCAGGCGGGTCCAAACTCACCTCCTCGCCAATCTCCGAGTCCGATGAGTGAGAAGAGTCGGAGGAATCGGCAAAGAAGCCTGCGTCCTCTTCGACACAGATCACAACGTCCACGGGAGCAGAGTCCTGCAGAGACAGTGCAAAGTGAGCACCCAACTTTCCCTTCTTCCTAGAAAGGTAAAACTGAATGTGTCGATATTTGAAAATGGCATATTTTCTCGCTGGGTAGCGGTAAAAAGCATGATTCAGTACGGACATAAAACGCCACCGATGGGTTTGGTATCTCTAAAGAGCAAGCCGGACCATAGAGGTTTGTGACAAATTAAAGGCATTTAAGTGACTGCAATTAATTATGATTTCGGTAACAATAACTTGAAGGCCGACGTACAGTTCACACTTTCCCCTTTTGCCGCCCTGCTCCTTTCCTTTCACCTCTCCACTTTTTACTTTGCCCCAACTTGGCTCCCCTCGCAGATTAGGAAAGGGAAGCTCTAAGAGGATTATCTTCCCTGCAGAAAACCGAGGTTGTATGTCGGCCTGTGGCATTTTGGGGTAACTTAGTTCGATCCTAATGATGTTGGCAAATACCCAAACGTGTTTGCAACGTCAGCTCTTATTGGAGTGCTCCGATGAGACGGAACTGTTAACTCCAATTGGAAGCCCGGCCAAGAACGCTCACCACGATGTCGCTGTCGGTGGAGTAGGCGTTCCCGTCTCCAGAGCTGTGGGATTCGAGCTCGTATTCCACCTCGAAGGGGCAGTCCTCATCGTCCGAGCCCGCCAGGCGGGACAGGTGCGAGGCCACCGCCGCCACCACGGCTGCGGCGCCCTCCTTCGTGTTGTCTTCCTCCTCGGACTCCCAGAGGTAGTCCGTCGAGTCTCTCACCAGATCTGTCTCGTGGCCCTGTTCGTGCGGATTAAACCGCCCAGGCCACTCGTCTCAGTCACGGCTAGCAAAGATGCCGTTCCCCGACAGAAATGATACGAAGGGACACGTCGTCCGCGAACGATCAGTCGCCAGTTTCCTCCGCCTTTATCCGTGTCGAAAGACTCAACAAAATTACTACGGTAGTCGAAAGTACTCACCTGGGTCGCTAACCCTAAGTGGTACATTTTAATGTCTGCCACTTCAAAGCAAATTGTAAAAAAGCGCTTGTGTTTGCGTGAAAACTGAACTGCAGCCCAAACAGAGAAAAGCTTACTATTTTACCACTCTGGCAGTCTTTAGAAGTGGGATTTGAACGACTCGCGCGAGTAGACGAGAAAAAAAAAGAAGGCCCCGCACCTGGATGCTGAGTTCGGACTCGGCGCCGCTGTCATACTCGGGCGAGCCCGGTATGAAGAAGACGAGCGGCGTGGACGGCCGCTTCGGGGTGGAGGAGGTCACCGCGTCTTGCCCTTCCGTCCGGGCCCTCTTGGGGTCCTCCGCATCGCTCGGGCCAGCTGTCGCCGCTCTCTTCAGTTTCTCTACACAGGGACGGGGCACGCGAAGGACGTCAGGCAACGTGCGGCGGAAGTCTGCCCACGGGGTGTCGGACGTGTGTGCATGTCGGGGAGGGCCACATTCGCTCGGAACCACGCACGCAACGTTCGCTCGAGTGCAGCATCCGAAACGAGAGTGCGAGAGGCAGAAACGTGTGGTTTCGCAACTGCAGCATGGCGGTACACCCTTTTCAAAAGTCCGTCGAGCAACGTCGGCAGTCGCTGTTCCTTGGGCACGGCGCGTGCCGTCGGACTCAAGTTCTTGCCGAGCTTGTGCCAAATGCCGAAGCAACCCCCGGGTTTGATATGAGCTCGGTGTATGTGCCGAATAAATGAAGGGCCCGAATGTTTGGCGTAGCAGCTACTAGGTGGTGCCGACTTTTGAAAAAGGACCGGTGTGTCGCACTTAGTTCATGCTATTCAAAATTCATGCTCGTGCCGTCCATGTTACGACGAAAAAACAAACAAAACGAAGCAATAGCAGCGTCTCGTTGCTACGCGAAGCTTTTTCGGTAATACTGCCACGTCATACTCATTCTTTCTAGGGCATGTCCGTAACGCACATCTCGATTTCGGATCTGCTTCAGACACCCAGTTTCTGCCTCCACATGAAATGCTCTAAGAACATGCTTTCCTTTTTTTTTTTTCACAAACATTTTACGCAGGTATACATCATACGCATCTGATGGCTGTCCTATAATGAGGCGGCAACATTAATTAGTCAAACCTCGGAAATTGCGAAAGAATTCCGAATTCAACCTAAATCGGTCGCGGCAGTGGAACGGCCATCAGAATGCGAGAACCACACGCAACCAGTCATTCACACCGAGGGATCTTTGGCCGGAGAACGAAATTTCTCGGCCGCCCAAGTCAAATGCCGCGACGAGACGATGCAGGAAGCTTTGTCTGGCACGATGACGACGACGTGGCGTTACATGTGCACGTTGTGTCGTTAGCTTTACATTACCGTTTGCCAAGGTTCCATCGCAACGAATTGAGCTCTCTGCACCATCTCTCCACGGCATTCGGAAATGTTGAGCGGTGTAGAACGGTGGCAATAAAGTTGCAAAAGTGTCAAAGTGGAAGAAATGCACCAAACCACTACTTGGTCCCCAGCATGCAGACGCACATACTAAAAACTATGAGAAAAAAGGATCGTGAGTGATCTTCCAACAGGCAACCCACCAATCAGCCGTGTCAGCGCCACTACCGAGCAACATCCGAGATTTCTCTAGGGAAGACCCGGACTCGTTCGTGAGGGCAAGTTGGCAACCACGAGGCATTCACAATCGAGTCCAGGACCTCGTTCGAGCCATCTCAGACGGCTCGCACCAAACGCTTTGTCAGTTAGTGTACTTTTTTACGGAAGGTCCTAATGCAATGCCCGAGAAATGTCTCACGTCGTTTAAACCCCCCCCCGACTACTTGGTCAGGTTTGCAGCAAAATTAAGTTAGCTTACTGAATTCCACTCTCCGTTACGTTATAGCTATTTCAATATTTGGCACCGATAAACTATCACTCTGAGTCTTTAGGCATAAACTGCAGATATCTTCTTTTATTTTCCAGCATGCTCCTGCAAATGAAGCTCAAATTCCATTTACGACTTAGTAATCGTCAGTATTTATTACAGGCCTAACCCTTTGACGGTGAAGTTTTTTTCCAAAAGATGTTCCAAAGTGGTTGGGTTTTGTTTCCAAAGGAATAGTATAAAGGAAGAGCCAATGGACAAGCTTTTTCTTAAGTAACTAGTGAGATCATAGGCGTAGACTACGGGGGGAGGGGGGCATCGGGGCTCGTCCTCCCCCTGGTGAGATCCAGGGGGGAAAGAACCCCCCCCCGGCCGTGATCCTTACCGAGACGCTGTTTACGTGCCATGTAACGAGCTTCTAGTAGTGGCATGTAAATAAAATAACATACACAGCGACGGACACATGGCGATATACATATGCTGTAAAATGTACCCCCTAAAATAAACTACTGATAATTGCCAGTGTAAAAAAAAATGCAAGTAACCCCCCCCCCCCCCCCCCCCCCCCCCCTTCCCCGGAGAACTCAGCGTGCCCCCTTGCCCAGGAAAATGGAAAGACTACGCCGCTGAGTGAGATCAGATGCAGTGCTTGCCAGCTGCTCAGGTTTTAAGCATCAATGGATATATTGAAAGCAAATGTCACCTTCTTTTCATTCTATTTCATTTTGGCGCGTCCACTTCCGCGACATTCCGTAAGTTTCAGATTCCCAACCGGAAGTACTTTACAGATTCACCATCAGATGCAAAGCCCTGTTAATTTAATTCTGAGAAGCATCAAGTCTGAATAAAAAGAGCTGGTGCTCCAATTTCCACTACCACCAGACATAACAAATAGCAACACCTCCTGCGGTGCATGGATAGACAGGCACTTCCATATGTGTAATTGGCACCATATAAATGTAAGGCGACGACCGTCAAAGGGTTAATTGGCCAATCTCACTTGAAAAGCTAGCGCCACCCATCGCACCGCCAAGGGACCGACACTACCTCCCACAAGATTAACCGGCCAAATGAGCTAGTTATGGATACTTGTATTAATCGTACGTCAAGGCGCGTGGGCACAGAGACTTATCCATCTCAACAATGACGGAGCATGATCGAACCGACCGAAATGCGAGCACCGTCCAATTCTGCTGCAACTGACCACAAAGTGACTGATCCCCCGCGCGTTGCTTGAGACGCCGTGCAGCCAGCCGCCCAATTGGATTGCTTAAAATGGGCCGCAACACGAGCCGACAAGACGCCGTTCCGTCCACCAACGGCCAGAGGCCGGGGCGACCGGCTGCACCTCTATGGAGGGAACGCAACGCGAAATGGGCCCCCTCAAAACGTGAGAAGCTGTCGACGGCCTGGTTTGGAATCGGCAAAAAAGCATTCCCGCACTGGGCAACCCGTGGCATAACTTTTCTTTTCTGCCGTTTTTCAGGGCAACCAAGATTGTTGCGTCATCAGTGAAGCCCAATTTAGCACACCATTTCATTTCCCCAGCACATTTGCAGTAACAAAGAGGAGAGAGTTAGGGCTATCTGGCTCATCTAATTCAATGTATCGTCGCTTCATAGGGAAGGCTGGCAGTTATGAAGCTAGACTGACTAATTCTCTCAGTTTGTAGAGCGATTTTAGCGTGCCTTCAGAGCACGCACGATGCAGCCATAACTTTAGCTTATGAAAGCATGATACACGGGCACGACCGTGTTTTGCTCTGCCCGCGAAGACTCGAAGCGAGGTCGTCTCCCGTGCAAAAACGTTCTGTTGATGCATTGCGGCAGAGAGGTGAGATCAATTTATTAATCTCCTACTTATTCGGTTGGCTGCCCATAGGAAACATGCATTTTTAAATAGATAAAGCATACTTCTATAATTCCTCGTCAGCTCTCCAAGCTGCAGAGTTTTCCAACCCATTCCGTCGCGAGCGTGAACATGTCCTAGGCTATGCCATAGTAGCGGAGAAAATGGTTAGGCAAGCTTAGCAGGTGTGCAGGCCCCCCCGAAAGTGCTGGTGGGCCGAAGAGCTGCCTTTCAGGACGCTTTCTACCGTAGCAACCAGGCCGTCGAAGTTACAACAAGAGCACAGCATTGGCAGGCAGCCGGAGCAACGCAACACTCTGGGCTCGCGAAACTGGCCGGGGAACGTCACTGTTTCAAACTAAAACAACTGTCGCATACTGTTGAGAGATTATCTTCCCTACAAAAAAACTAGACTCCAACAAGTTAAGGTAAAAAAGCGAGAACGGATGAATCCAAAAAATGGTCAAAGCTGGCACGTTCATACTGGTATCCAGGATGGATTCTAAAGAACCGCGGTGAGGTTCCAACACCTGCCAGCCGATGGCGCGATCCGAGTCGTACGCTAGCTGCACTGGCCTGTGGCCTTCATGGCGTTAACCACCGGCTCTGTACGCCTTCGCCAAAGTCGTTGAGCCGAGGTCGTTCTCCGCTCGACCCGCCGACTCCCGTCTGCCAAATCCCGCGAGCCAGAGCCCCGCGTCCCACGGGCATGCCTGCAACCTACAACGACGACGCCCGTTCCGCACCATAGAGTTCAGAGGGCGCGGAGTCCCTCGTCGCGCCCCAAGCACCGCGACAAAGCCCGAGAGTTTTGGAAAAGGTGAGAGCAGGCCACCACTCTTAGTTACCTTGGGCATACACAAGCTGCGCTGGGACAGCCAATAAGTTTTTGTATAGGGGAAGGCTACTGTGGGAGAGGAGAGAGAGGGGCGAGTGAATAAAAGAAACGACGATCGCTCGTCGCGCAGCTCACTCCCAGAAGGAGGCGCCTTCGGCTTAGAACCAAAGGCGCCTGTCTTTAGAGGGACCAAAGGGAAAACAACGAAAAGAAGGGGTTCCAAGACTTCACGGCGGCAGACGACGTTGGCCGACGGGGGACGTTGTTGACGGGGTTAAGAGATCGAAACCATCTCTTAATTAGGATGAAGCGAGAAAAACAAAGTGGGAGGGGAGGTCAGAATGAGCCCCTTCCCAGTTTGCCCCAGTCGTCGGCTGTAATATTTTGAGACTCCCACGGCTGTCCCTGGGGGAGGAGGAAAAGAGACAAAAACAAGGCACAACAGCGCAACTCTTTCGTCAGCAAAGTGAATGCACTGTGGGCCTCTCAGCGAGGCAAGCCCAATCTGCCAAGGACGACGAGAAAGACAGACATGTCCGCAAGAATTGAACTCGGACGTCTTTAAGTTCATCGCTATCCCAGCACCGCAAAAGCAGTGCTGCAAACTTTCTTTTCTTTTTCATGTTAGAGACAAACTTTTGAGAAGTCGGCTAAACTTCCGTGCTTTGTCCCGCAGATTGGCTTCGCCTTCGGCCCATCTTAATACTCTTAGCAAAGAAGTACAAACCTGAGTGTGCTGAAAGAAAACCCCCACCAGCGTGCGCCACTCGTGTGGACGTGCGGTTCGATCCACATGCAGCGTAACTTCACCCTCTTATGAACAGTGACCTTTAAACGGACCACAAAGCCCATTTCTCGGACGTCGAGCAAACTCTGCAACCACCGACACGCATAATGAAACTCGGCGGTAACTCTTCACAAGATCTGGCAAGCTATTGCCTTTAACGTTTCATTCTAATGCTTTTAACGTCGTCAGAATATGGGACGGAAGAATACCGCAAGTGGATCAAACAGCAGCAATGCGCGATCAACGTTTTCTCCGTCACCCCAAGTTGACGATCGAGGATCCAATGCAAGCTGCATCTATCGAGGTATGATAAAAATTTGTGCCCTGTCATTACTTGTTGGCTTCCGCCATTTATCTGAGTCACGGCGCGGCTCTTATAACAGAGGCTAACATCCAAAGCCAGGAAGGAACTGGATAAGAAAGGGAAAGTTAAAACATTCCGATTCCCTTCCAACCTTTGTCACAAGGACAGACTTTGTACCTTTCCAATCCACAAAGCTACTCTTTCCTTTTCTACTGCCCTTGAGACACAATTTTGCAAATACCGGGTGTGCTTACGTTTGGCATAAAATGGATGCTGACCCAAACAATAAGTGGCCAATTATATATATATATATAAAATTCTCCTCTGGTTTTTGGATTCTCGATGACAACCAAACTCGAAGCACCGCAGCAAATGATAAGAAAGAAACATGGGTCGAGAAGAAAAGACGACGTCAACACTTACTTCACTTCCTCGGCTAGAAACTGCTCCACTCCAAAGACCTTGCCAAGCTTGTCGTTGGCGCACAAAACCATCTTGGGATCTTTGGGGTCAAAGAGTTGCCGTTCCAGTATGTAGGACTTCAGGTGGCCCAGAATCTGCAGATTGGGCAGCTGTAAGCTCCTTGGCAATGACGGGCTTTTTTTACCACTTTCAAGTTTAAACAGACACGAATGACACTATGTTTCGCCTTAGAATAAATTAGTTTGAATGAGATTGCAAGAATTGTGAGAAGAATCACTCAAGTGCCACGAATGGCCGAGGAATCATGTTCTCCTCTGAAAATTATACAGCCTAATGCTAAAAGGAATGCCATACTAAAGCCCTTTCTAGGGTCTTTTTTTAGACTAGGTTCTCGGAACTTACACTCAACCTAGGGAGGTCTAAATTCACGTTGACATGCTCGCTCAAGGATAATTCGCGAGGTTAACGAGAGAGCTCGAAATGACTTGCCGTAAAATAATGGGCATCCACCCATTCCACAAGCGCCCACCCCTCAATTTTATAACATTCAGAAAATACACGAGACATATCTTTACACATTGTTGCCCTAAGAAGCGAGCATCCCCCAGTTTTACACGATTGGCTCCAAACTTTCAGTGGGCGCTTGCTTGGGACTTTATGGTAGCTAGGGGTATCATGTTGCTGGCAGAGATGTTGTTGCGCCTCATTTTTTACTCGCTTTAATATTCGAATAAAAAATTTAAATCGACAGGTTGGGAGTCTAGCGAACGTGTAACGGCTTATGCTACAAAATCAAGCGCGGTTATCGTGCTACAGTTGTGTCTCAATAATACGGACACCCCGCTATATAGACAAACTTCTCGGCAACAAAGTATGTCAATATGTGCATTTTTGTCTCGTAATTACGCACAATTTTTTTTTTACCGAAGTGCCTACGTTAACGAGACATGACTGTACATGACAGCTTAGTCCAGTGGATATCGAATGAGGGTCTGCGGACCTTTTCAGGTCCCCGAAACCCCCAAACGTAATTGAAGCCGAGCAATTGAACTTTATTTTTTTCCTTCATGCCGGCTGTCTCACAAAGCTAAATAAACTAAGTCATGCGTGCCGACTATAGATTATTCTCAGAGCTTCAAAGTAGGCCTCCACGCATTCAGTATTTTTCATTTGCCCTTTTGTCATTGTGATCATCTAATAATCTCCCAGCCATCGGGTAGATATATCTTTTGCTGACCAAGAGAGGTTGAGAACCCTTGGGCTAGTGGCACACCTTCGCAACTATCCCACTGATAGAAAACTTGAACGCACACCCGTGGTACTACTTCAACCCACAGCTGCTTTCCAAACCTTGTTTCGACGCTTCACTGCCACGAAGCCCTCGGACAGCAACGGAGCGGAGTGAGGGGCCGGGAATGCTAATGCATCGAAGGCCCGGCCAGGTCTTAACCTCCTCAAACCAAACATTCCGCCTCCCACACCGAGCTTCTGGCCACTTCGCGGATTTTCCTAAGCGCTGAGAGACCGGACCATTATTTGTGCCGGAAGCGTTCGGCCAGCGTCGACCGGCTAGTGCTATTAAAGAATGCCGCAAACTCGGCATGACCAAGAATATCGGATAACGACAGTACGATGCCACACTTACGAATCTCTCCGCGGCGCATAAACATTAGTTTTATTTATTCAGATAATCCTACGTCGCTCAAGGGGCATACTGCGGGATAAAATTATTTTAACTATTTTTGTGGCACATAAATGCTACGTGCACAAGCTCATAAAGGCTGCCACCAAGTAAAGGTACATAATACGATAACACCGGGAGAAAATGCGTTACATTGGCCTCAAAATAAGTCAAATGGCGAGCCATTCGAGAGTAAAACAACATTGTTGGGCACGTTCTTCCGACTGTTTGTGGAAAAGATGAGTACATGAGAGCATCAGTTCTACAGTTGGATTTCCCAATTATGCGAGCGTGACTCAACCCTTGTGAAATCAGGAATGGTAGGTCCAAAAAACCTATGGTTTTGTCCATTCTTGTCAAAGCCGGACGACGCACAAAAATAAATTCTTTCCCGCAGAAAATGTTTTTCTTTTGTTTCCCCATCTTTACGTCCTCCTCGCATACCTCTAGCCCCCAAACATCAGGAATACACTGGAAGGAAATGAAAGGGGCTGTTGCTGTCAACGATTTGGCCGGGAGGACGCAGGTATTTCTTAAGTGGGGGGTCAGGTGTTGGTCAGCGTATCATATGTTTAAGACCCCCCCCCCCCCCCCCCCCCCCTTCTCGTTTCCACTCCCTAAATTTTTACACATGCAGAATTCAAGAGGGGGGTCAGGACATCCGGACCCCCCTCTGAATCCACCCCTAGATATGGCTCCATCTTCTTTTCCTGAATTGCTCTCAGGCTAAGGACCCATACTCCGTTCATTCCTCAGCTGACAGTAGGATGGAAGCTACCTGCTCGTTAAGGGCCTACCTTTAGCCACCTAACTACGCTCCTGCCCATACGCAGGCACAAGGGTCAGATGCTGAAAGGGAAGCTGTTGATCAATTCGGCCGAGCGTGTAACTCCCACTACACTGTCAGCTCAAAGGTCAACGTTTTTTCTTCTTCTTCATTATGTCCCAAGCTAAGTTTTAGCAATACACGTTCAAAGGCGCAGAAATGCCATTAACAAATGACTCGCAAGTCATTGTAAGCAGTTCTTTTTTTTGCTCATTGAGAAGTTGTACGAGAACACCAAGGTGTCTCGGAGGGGCACAGCGGAACTTTCACGACAATGACACATAGTGAAGTCTTCACTTTTAGTCCGTTTCTTTTAGAAAAGGGTTCAACATTAGTTTCAGTAATTATTATGATACATCCAATATTTTCTTTGAGAATACAGAGTATTAGTAAACTAAAGATTAGTTATGACATCCACCAGTTCTCTTACTATACTTTTCACCTTCCACAGATGCATCTCGCGAGACTATAAATCCCAACGAATATAAACAATGAGGTTTTATCTTTTTTTTTTTTTAAAAAAAAGAAAGCACACTGTAGTGGTTTGAAGTGCACTGAGGGGAGAAATTTAAAATGCGCCAAGAGAAACTTCAGCAACTCTGTTCACAAAAAAAAAAACAAAAAAACAGCCACACGCAGGCAGGAGACACACACCTGTTTCAAGGACAGTGGACCCCGCGGCGCCCCAACTTCTTTCAGACATTCGTAGAGGCCATCCTTCAGTATATAGAACTGCACACACACACAACCAGGCACGCAGCAGAAGAAAAGGGGGAAACAGGAAGGACAAGTTGTAATCATCGTGACCAGTAGTAGTGAAATGGCTATCTGCCTTAAACTTGTACTAAACACTAAAACCACTCCTGCAGTTCGTTTCACTTTATCTGCGAGCGAAGCCGAACATGTTCCCTGAATGATGCTTGCACTGCACAAGCGTGCGTGCTTGGCAGGGATGTTTACTCACTATTGAAGCTTCAGCTAGGCTCACACTTAAAACAAAATTAATTTTTGAAACGTGACTTTTACTACTTTGAACTCTCTCCTCACCACGTCTATTAAAATCTATCAATTCCATCGAGGGATTTAAAATTCCTATCTCAACGCAATCAGCGCTGAAACTTTTTTAGACATGCGGTACCATCTAGGACATTACGGAGGAGCTCTGCTTCGAGTTCTGGTTTCGCTTTTTGCTCTTCTGAGAGGGGTTTTTCACGCGACTTTCCAGGATCGTGAGCGATAGCATCAAGCATGGCGTCCTTGTCTCAGGCAGGCGCTTCCCAACGAGATAATCTAAATCACGACTCAGGTGCGTATGCAATAAATTTTGTGAATGAAATGACAGTAGCGAGTTAGAAGGGGACATTCATTCACTGGACTTCAGTTTCGATTGTGGCAGTGGGCTGAACTAGCCGGAATTATCCAGGGTGTTGGTATATTTTGTTCTGCATGCCTAGTGCACTTATTAGGGAGTTTTAAATAGCGTATGCAGAAGCTTTGCGTAAGCAAAGAATGGCATTGTCGCCACTGGGCATGCGCCGAATGCTAACTGTGCGTTGCACTTGGCATCCGCTATTTTTTGGAAATTGCGTGCATACTGAAAGAGTCTCTGCATTCCTCCAACGGGGATTCGTGATGCGTGAGACGCTGGCTAAAGCCAAAAAGAGCACAGTTAGAAAATAGCGGCTCCCAGAACCCCAGTTGCAGTTGTTTTGGCGGTCGCCGTGGGCACGACGTCGGCGGCATTCTTGCAACTGCGATTTTCAGTACAGGAGGACATTGCACTCCTAAAGGAGGTCACAAACAGTTTGGAAGGTTGGGCAATGATCGCCGGAACCTTTGTGCTTGCAATGCACAAACATTTCTCGGCGAAAGGTAGTGTGCGAAGGTGAGTACACGAGGCCTTCCTTGCCGAGGCGATGCACGCAGACACGGCCGATTGACCGCTCCCGTCACATTCTCATATTTAAACAAATCTAAAATGTTGTTGACCTTACTCTGGTGAAATAAACTTGTTTCTCATCAAGTTACAGCATTTCATGTGAGAAATGAAAATTTTTACTGTACTTTGGTAGCGTTGGAAGCATGAGATGCTAGGTTTTCTGTGTCGTGGCGGAGAAACGTTATTCTAAAACTCTCTTGCGTAGTGCGCAATAATGCAAGCGCTAAATTTAAAGCTAACATGCACTAAAATTGTGCACATTCTTCTGAAGACTCCTATTGCCTCCGTGAGCTTCTGTGGACATACTGAGTGTGTTCCGAACACATTATTTTTCGTCTGCAGGCTGTTAGCAGACAAATGTAGGGAAGGCATGGTCACAGTCAGGCTGCTGCAGCTTTTTCCCCCGTCCCCTTACCCCCATTTTGTATGTTGCATTCAAAATAAAATGAATTGAATACAAATACGATTCTATGCCACCAACGGGCGGCCTGCCGCCAAGCTCGGCATAACGCTACGGAGTAAGAAGATAACACTTTGGTCGGAGCTTCAAGGAATGATGCAGTCCATTTTAAAAAACAGCGCGAATAACACACAGACAAGGAGAGAACACACAGGAGGAGGTGCTGACTATCAATTCAGAAGACAAACAGAGAAATTCACGCAAGGACGACTTCTCGTCCTCGCGTCCTTCGCACCTTGTCCCGTGGGTTCTCTCCTTCTTGTCCGTGTGTTGTACGCGCTGCTTTTCAAAATGGATTCATACCAACTCGGCCAACTTTCCATTCTAATGATGCAGTCACCACGAGGGTGTAATGCTAATTTCCGCAAACCAAGTGTAGCATGGAGACTTTTCAAACTTTCAGAATTTGTTTCTAGAAGAGTTAGGTACAAAACATATATTTTTCAATTATTTTTAATCTTAGTACTTTGCAAAGCATAATAAATTAAAGCATCCATGCTGGTTACATAAAAATTTGACATTAAATTTTTTTTGTTGCGCTATTTTATAAAAATTTTGTTTAAAATTTACATTTTTAAAATTATGTTTTTAAAGCTAAATTTTGGTGTGCTTTGGTACCAGCAAAATTTGTGGCTAAACAATTTTCTAAACAAACAATTCCTACAATAAGAAAAAAGTAGTGTTCAATGGTTGCTATTAGCATCTGGTTGCTACCCCAACTACAGAGTCCCCGGAATATGATAAAATAGCCCCAATACATTTAATGCATACCTGCATGGCTTCTTGGGTACGAGGAAAAAAAAAAAAATCCTACGCCGGGTCACAAACTGCTTTGGGCAATAGATGATCAGGCTAGATGAAACATTACTTTCTGGTAAGATAGGAAATCAAAATAAACCTCTATTCACACTAAAGTAAACAAGTTTGGTCATATTTCAAGCTTATGCCCCTTGCACAGTCCTTTTTCCTTCCGTAGCATATCATCTTCCTTCAACCAAATCAATACTGATCCAATCACAGCTTACTTTGCTGTCACATGGTTATGTTAAAAACTATGATGAAACCCACTATACCAGTTCATTGCTGACGATTTGGATTTTGAAAAATTGCATATAGTCCACAAGAAGATCTGGAGGTCAGGGTTTGTGCCCACAAGTAAATGCAAATATTGTTCAGAGGCATTTTTCTCATATTTCCTTAAAGGGGTGCTGAAGTGCTTTTTGAGACCATTGTTGTACTGCCATAACTCAATCTACGACCTCTAACCATCCTTAAAAAAGTGAAATTCAACTAATGAACGTCCGATTTGCGTATTAAAACAGTGATCAAAGTTCCCAAAGCTTACCGATGATGCAGAACGACAGATGGCGCTACAGAACCTTGTTGAATATGGTCGAACGGACGGCGTCTGTCACTCGCTCAAAGTAACGGGTTCCCGCGTGGACGAACGACCGACCAGTCCCGCTCGTTTACACGGGACTTGATTATATTTATGACAATAAAATGAGGATCTCAAGAACTAGTCTAGTGCAACTTTAAACCTAGGCCAACGGTGGCGACCGATCCTGGTATTTCGAGCCCAGTCCAAACTTGCAGACATCGGCAGGTTCTCAGAAAATCACTTTTCACATTGATATAACCATTTGCCAGGCAAAACTAAAAATAGGCAACTGGTGGTTACCTGAATCTCAGACTAGAAGAATGTTACAAGGAATACTGAGGCAAATTCTTTCTTTTCAACGATCAACCCTCAATGTTTCTTTTTCTTATAAAGGGCCAGTTGAAAGTGAAGTCATTCCTTTCTTGGCCAAGGTTTTCACCAATCCTCCTTCCTTAAGATTACCCAGAACTGAAAGTTGGCCTAAGAAACCACTTCTTGTCATGGAATTAAATATCACTGGGGAGTGGGGCTGCACTGAAGTTTGTCACTGCCCAAACAACTGGGCATTTTGAATGGCCACTGCAGACAAAGACTGTCTTCTCTGTCGGAGGCCCCCAGTAACACCGAGACCAAGGCCAAATAACCAAATACGAAAAACAAATATTTTAGCCAATGATAAACAACTGTCTGCCTTCCCGGCAGCCACTTACCCAGTCAGATGGGTTGAAAGTCATAGTTTCTGCCTGCAAGAGCACACAAAGCAGACATCAAATTTGCTTCTGCTCCACCAATTGCCGCTGTGGAGGGTCACACGGCACTCACACACCACTTCTGAAAGTTTGCCCGGAAACCCCCGAGTCCCACTGCCAGCCACCATGTGCAAAAATGATTTGTCATGCATGTAGTAAGGTCCAATGACATCCCACTTGATCTTAAAGGACACATGCAAAGGAAAAAAAAAAAAACACTTTTTTAAAAAGCTTAGATGGAAAAAGGATGTCATAGAACAATTTTACAACAAAGAAAAAAATTGTTAGAGCTACATTTACGGCGCAATACAACTTTGTAGTTGGAGCCCACGGGCGCCGCGGAAAAGTGGCCCTTACTTATCACGTGACTGGTACATATTTGTCACGTGGTGCTTGCGTTCTTTTGGAAGCTTCGTATGGCCTCTAAAAGTAACTTATTCATCTTTGTTTGGTAGAACAAAAAACTAAGAATAATAAATAGCTTTTAGAGCCCGAAGGAAACTCCTGAAAAACCGCAAGCAGACGGGATAGACCTGTGCGCTGGTCAGATGACAGCGGCAGCGCCCCAAAGCACACCAACTTGTGCGGCGGCGGCGACGGCGGCATAGAGAAACGCGTTGGAGTGGCGTCGCACAACGCTCAGCGTGCGGCGGCGCACAGGCCTGCCACGTGACCAGCGAAGGCTCCCGCCGGCGCCAACTACAAATTGTTTTGTGCCGTAAATATAGCTCTAAATTTTTTTTCTTCGTTGTAAATTTGTTTTACAATATTCTTTTTCCATCTAGCCTGTTTAAAAAAAAAGTTTTTTTTTCTTTGCATGGCTCCTTTAAGGAGATCATTCCTACAGATGCTGTTCCTTAAAAGATTTTCTTCTGAAACTTCAGGAACGTTACCTGCATACATATTGCATATGTATGAAAAATACATATTGATGAAACAGTACGCTGGATTCCTGCTGGACTACATATGCTTGAAATGAAGATTCAACAAGTATGTGCTGGCATTTCAAATCTCACCATCAATTTATTGCAACCTTTTTAAAAATTTTATCTGAAAATTAGAGGTTTAGAGTTCAAAGATTTTGTGCTGAAGTAGCCATAAACATCTCAAGCTCTTGGTGGGTATCAATGGGGTAATTCAGGAGTTCAGAAGAATGTTGACCAGACAAGCCTCTAGCAGTGACGTGATTGGTCAGAGTCATTTTGGAGCACCTCCTAGAGCACCTTAAGTCCAATTTTGGAGCATAAGTCCCTCGCTGACCCCCGACCCGACCCCCTCCCCCACACACACACTTCATTTTCATTCCTAAAACTGAAAATAATATATGTTAAGATTCATGAGTTTGCCTGTCCATCAAGCGACATGGTCTAGTTTGCCTTCCCACTTCTGTGCAACCTTTTGTTAACATCAATGCACGATAGGTTTGGTTCCCTCAAACAGAGAATCAGCTGTTGTATGCAGAAGTACCAGGCACGGCAACAACATGCTGACTGATGGACAGTATGAACTACTGTGAAATGGTTGTTTTTGGTATAGAGCCAAAGGTATATCAAATAGTATATTCCATAAAAATATTGCTAGAACAGAATAATATTGAGCACCCAAATTGATGTTTCATTCAAATAAAAAAGGAAGGTTTTGTCATTCGATTAAGATCAATGACATTTTATATGTAGAACTTTATGATAAGAAAAGTCTGCATGCATACAATATATGAGACCTAGAAACAGTCCGGTCAAACTGATTAAGGTTATTCCCAAGTTTCTGTCCTCAAATCCAACTAATTTAGAATCTCGAGTCTAACCAGACTCGAGATTCTACAAGGCAGAAGATCCTCCTCACCGTGGGGGAGGGGGAAACAGGCAACGGTGGACATGCTAGAAAGGTGGGAGAGGAGGAAGCGAGGGAAGAGTGGAAAGTGCGAACTGGTGGTCGACCTTTAAGGGGACATGCGCCAGAGGAAAACATTTCTTTTTATTAGTTACAATAACTAAATGAAATATTTACAGTCTATAGTGTTTATTCTCCTCCATAAATCTGGTTAGATCTGATATAGCTTTTTTTTTTTTTTTAATGTTCTGGGTGCAACGCCCATACAGAAAAAAAAAAAAAAAAACATGTTCTTGCGCATACGTGGAGCATAGAAAAAAAAAAAACTAATTTGCTCCTTTTAAACTTTTAAACCACTCAGTGCAATGAACACAAATAATGTGTGCAGTGATGTGATTGGCCTAAGTCATTTTGGAGCACCTTTTAGAGCAGTCAAAACAGTGTTCTAAAGCACCAAATGTGGCCTTTGGAGCAAGCAACCAAAACAGTGTTTTGGAGCAGCGAAAGTGGCTTTTGAAGCAACCAAGACAACGTTTCAGAGCAGCAAAAGTGGCTATTAGAGCAGATACTGTAAAACCCTTTATTTTCGCGGCCCCTATTTTTCGCGAATCGGTCACAGATGACATAATCGCGACCACTAAATTTCGCGAATTCCAGACGCCTGCATTGAAAATCTTAAGGACCGAAATTTTTGCGCGCCCTTAAATTTCGCGAATTCTTCAATTTGCAAAATTCGCGAAAATTGAGGGCTCGCGAACAATAAGGGTTTTACACTATTCTTAGAAGAATAAAAATATTGGTCTTTGCTGTACAAAGGAAGGGCACTTTGCGTTGTGCTGTGTTCTGATCCGATTCGTCGTGACGGAACTCTGCTTAGGGCTTTACTAATGAGACATCCCACAAGTGTACAGTGCAGTAGGCATTTCCAAGCAATTCCGAAAAACCGCTTGCCGCCATTTTACTGGTTCTCGACGTGCCAGATTTTCCTCAACAGTAAGCACGTAAAACCGCGGATTGCAAGTGTCCCTGCTGGTGCCTCTGTCGTGCTATCATGTTCGCATGCACGTGAGGGCAAATTCGGCAGGCTTGCAGTTGCGCATACTTCGTTGCGCGAGCGGAGACAACAGCTGTTCCACCCAAACCAAAACCATGCGACTCCGCTCCGTCGCCAACTGATCCCCAAGTTGTATGCAAAATGTAACTGTTAAGCATACGACAAAAAACAGTCCAGCGGCGCGTGCTTGCCAAGCCAGCAAACAAGGTATACGAGCTACACACACAAAAAGGAAGAACCCGAGCGCATCGATGCAAGTCATCGCGAGCCAGGGCAAAAAAGTTCTTGGAGCACTTCGTGTAACGATTGAACTCGAGACAAACAAGCGCGCTGTGCGGGTTCAGCGTGCAGACATCGCCTTCTTTGCTTTAGCTCACGTCTCTTCACCAACCTTCTTTCGCGGCAAATTTTTCCCGTACCGGAGTCCCTTTCGAAAGCAAGCCCACCAAGAGAAACCTAGGTAATCAATACTTCGACACAGCAGCCTTTGAGTAAAAGAGAAATTTTTGTATTAACGTATGATTTAAACAAGTACAGGAATGTTGATAAACACGTGGCAGTACTTAGTTTCGTTTTAGAAAGCGCCATATCTGCAGCGACGTAAGGATGGCAACACCTGACATTGCGCGACCATGGTGACTGGAAGGCAGGGACCAAATATATAGTTTTCCCAAGGCCCTTGCTTTCAGTAGCAAGTGCTTCAGCTCAAAAAAAAAAAAAAAAGCAACTCCCGCCGCGCAAAAACGTGGTTTTATTTCATACAGTGATGTGATTGGCCTAAGCCGTTTTGGAGCACCTTTTGGAGCAGCCAAAACCGTGTTTTGGAGCAGCAAAAGTAGCTTTTGGAGCAGCCAAAACAGTGTTTCGGAGCAGCAGAAAGTGGCTTTTGGAGCAAATTTTTTTATAAAAATACAAAAAAAAATTTGTTCTAAATGCTGGACAAAGGAAGGGCACTTTGCTCGCCACAATGAGCAAATTATTGTCAAGTTAGACGACCTGGGAGTCTTTCAAGTTGTTGACTGAGATGCCAATGACACAACATATTTTGCAATGCTTCAGTTAAATGACATATATATATATATATATGTACCCGCTATAGATAAATAAGAACCAAATTGCACATATTAAATTTATTTGAAAATGACCAGCTTAGCAGTAAATATGAAAGCATAAACTTCACTAGTTATATAATATAATAAATTGAAGCAGTATCCAACTGATGAAACACGTACCTACTGCAATACAATACGAAACTATACACATGAAAAAGGTGCAATACGACTGGTGGGTGCTTTTTCTTTTGTTTGTTGAAACTTTCTGCAAGTCTGCTGCAATCCTCGCTTAGCTTTCGGCAAGTAATGAATGTCCACTTTCAATGTCTCCAAAGAGACGTTGAGACATCCCACAAGTGTACAGTGCTGTAGGCGTTGCCGAGCAATTCCAAAATGTCTCCCACCGTTACACTGGTTCCCGACATGCCAGATTTTCGTCAGCAAGCAAATGTAAAGCAATGGATCGCAAGCGTCCCCAGCTGGTACCTCTGTCGTGCAATTATGTTCGCATGCACGTGAGGTGAGGGCAACTTCGGAAGCTTTCAGTTGCACGCGCTTCGTTATGCGAGCGGAGACGGCTGTTCGATCGAAACCGAAGCACTGCCACTCAGCTCCGTCGCCATCTGGTCCCCGAAATTGTATGCAAAATGTAACAATCCAGCATAAAAAAAAGAGAAAAACAGTCCAGTGGCGCGTGCTTGCCAGGCCAGTGTGCGAGGCACAAGCTAATTTAAAAAGTTAAAAAGCGCAAACAAAACAAGGACAATAAAGCTAATAAAGAAAAAAAAAACGAACCTGAGCGCATCAATGCGAGACATCGCGAGTCAGGGTCAAAAAGTTCTTGGAGCGCTTTGTGCAAGAACTGAACTCAAGATAAACAGGCGCGCTGTGCGGGTTCAGCGTGCAGACATTGACTTTTTCTGCTTTAGCTAACTTGTCTTAAACTTTCTTTTGCAACAGACTTTTCACGTACCGGGGTCCGTCTCAAAAGAGATCCCATCAAGAGAAACCTAGGTAAACAGTACTTCGACACAACAGTCTTTGAGCTAGAGGGATTT